TCACATTGTGCAACATGGTTGTGGTTTAATTCTAATGCTGCTAATTAAAGAATATTAATGGTTGTATCAGAAATTCTTGAATAAGGATGTAACTAGCTATAAATTTAAGAACTGCATTTAATCTCCGTAGTGTCTCCTTAACAAAACTCCATCCAACCACAACATTTTGGAAAAAAAATTGAAAGCAACCAGATAAGGAGCCTATAAAATATGAGAACATGCAATCAGAGGAATTTCCTTTATTTATAAATTTTTCTACATCCTCTGCTGGACCTCTTACAGACTTCTGATCAATTTATTTTCGTGGGCTCAATGGGGACAAGAATCTGTAAGGATTTTTGGAAATAACAGTTTAGTCTGGAAATTCCTACACTGACTTTTTTTTTTTTTTAATGTCTAAAAAGTTCATGGAAAGACTTCCTGTTAATGAAGTGGGACATAGCAGCCTAATCACCTTGCACTGCTCAGGGGGTTTATTCCTCTCAAGATAGAACAATCTGCTGTGTACATTTGAAAACTGAGATTTTCTTATTATGTAATTCATATAAAGAAGCAGCAGTGCCTCTCATTATCCTCCAAAGAAAAAGAACCTCATGTTTGAACACCACTAAAAACAGAGGAGACACACAGGTGCTTGTCTGATCAGTAGCTGACAGATAGGGTAAAAGTGGATGTAATTTACTGACATGCTTTAGCAGAAAAATTCCTGATTTGGACTCATTTTAGTACCTTTGGCCACATTTGCTTTTCCAGGTTCATAACTGCTCCCTGAATGAAAGGATTCCTGTACCACCCCTTGCTTTGTTTGTATTGTCTATCACTCACACACAGCACGAGACAACGCCAAAATGGCTCGACCACAACAAAACATGGCTCGATCCACAAAGCACGCTTTGGAATTCCTCCTGCCACTTTGGGATCCACCGGTATTCACACCTAGCCGAGGCTTCACTGCCGGGGGAGCAACCATCCACACCTCAAAGGGGATGAAGAAACAGCACGTTGTGCTCGGAGAGGCCCCAGGAGAAGCTGGGCTGTGTCAGGTCACCCGGGAGAGCAGATCCCGCTTCCCTGCTCAACTAAAGCCCCGCTGGAAAACAATCCCAGCCAGGGCGGTTTTGAGCCCACGGCAGGGGGTGTGAGCCCCCCCACTTCTCTGTGTGAAGAGCACAGAGTGCAGAGCAGAGGCAGCACAAAGGGTGGGGAGGGCATTTCCCATGCTAAAGAGGCGCAACACCCAGGGGAGGGGGTGCCTGCATTCCATAGGGGGTGCTGATCCAGAGGGGGGGCACACAAAGCAAGTTAGGCACGACCCAAAGGTGATCCCCACCTCACAGCGGCATGGGGGTGGGGGCAACCACAAGCCAAAGTCGGGGTCCACACAGGGGAAAGGCTGTGACCCAGAAGGGGGGAATTTCCATTTCACACCGAGAGGAAGTGTACACAACCCAAAAGTGGGGGAGCCAACAGTGGGGGATATGAACCAAAATGGGGCCCACATCCCATACAGGCGGGGGACCACGACCTAAGGCGGGAGGGCCTACAGCGGGAAGTATGAACCAAAATGGGGTCCACACTCACTCGGGGGGCCTGTGGCACAGCCTAAACGGGAGGCCCAGACCCCAAAAGGAGGGGTGCACAATACCCCAAAGGGTCCCTGCCCCACGGCGCCCCATTGCGACACGGGTGGGGGGCGCCCCCGAGGCTGAAGGGGCGTGGCCCGAGCGGCTCGCGCAGCGGGGCTCCCCCGGGAGGGGGCGTGGCCTCGGCCGAGGGGGGCGTGCCCACGGGGGCCACCGGCGGGGGCGTGGCTCCCCTCCCCCTCACCGAGCGCTGCGGTGGGTTTGGGGGGGGAGGCGTGAGGGGAAAAAGCGGGCGCGTCCCCCGCAACATGGCCGCGGCCTTTCCCACATGCGCCACATGGCGCTCGCTCCGCCCGCCCTCCCGCGCCCCACCGCGCCCGCGCTCGGCGGCGGGAAGCGGAGCCGCCGCTGCCCGCTGAGGCCGGAGGGGCTGGCGGCACCTACCCGAAGCCATGGCGGCGGCGCTGAGGGGCGGAGGGAGCGGAAGGAGCGCAGGGAGCGACCCGCCCGCCGCGCCGGCCGCGCGCACACTGAGGCACCCGCAGCTCGCGCGGACTGCGGGGCCGGGCGGCCAATCAGAGCTCGCGGCGCCTACCACTCGCTGGGGAAGCGGGGGGGTGAGATGGGCTGTTCCAAGGTACAGCGGGCGGAGGGGGGGTTGTATTGAAGGGAGAGGGTGCGAGGATGTGCGGGCACATCAAAGGATTTAATTAATTTAATTAATAAACGCGCAGGGCATGGTCAGCGTGCGCAGACTGAAATGGAGGGTTTGCACGCCCGGCTTTCCGCACCAGCAGCCCCCGTGTTTCCCTCAGTACCCCACTCGTGCATCACCGATTGTAGCAGATGCTAAGTGGGGTTAGAGAAAACATCCAAAATGTGGGTCCCGCAGGAAAATTCAGAAAGGATTGCCAGCGTTTCTGAGTATCCTAGAAAGCCAAATATCAACTTGGAAAATGGTTTGCCAAAGAAAGGGACGGGTCATGATCCTGGGAGCCACTTCTGTGGAACGTGAGGGTTTGCTTCAGAGAGAAAGATGATGAAATGAAAAGAGAGCAAAAGCGACATTGAGTATTTAATCTGATTATTTTTAGAAGTTGTATTTCTTGTTTCACATCAAACTACCTTCTCGTGGGAGTTGGTAGGTTAACAGTTGCACCTTTCAGTCTAGGGACAGTCTGCACATGCATCAAGAGAACAGTGAGGTTTTACGCTGTTTTTTTTTTTTTTTAATTAAGGCAGTGAGGAGCTTTCTCTGATTTCAGCTGAATGGTTTGAGCAGATTTACAGAGAAGTTGGGCTGTTTCTTTCCCTCCTGGGCTTAACAGCAGGAGGCAAATCCCACTGCCACAGCTGAAAATAAGTTTCTGCAAAACAAGCAGTGACTGGAATGAATAATTAAAGAAAAAAAAAGAAAAAATAAAAAAAAGAGGGTTGAGCTCCTTGCCTTTTGGTTTCTCCTTGAGAAACTTCATCTCCTCCAGCCATGATGTCTTCTACTGCCCCATGAACCTTTCTGTGACAACCTGGGAGCTCACAGATGCTGCCCGTGCCATGTTGGGGTTAGGGCAGATCCCAAAAAATGCTCCCGAGCCAGGGGACATGGGGGGGTCTTGCTCTGGGTGGAGCCTCTCGGTGTTTGTGCTTTCCTCAGGGACTGAAGGCTTCTCATATGTGGAAAATGGAATTAATTCAGAGAGAGTTTCAGGCTTATGTGTCTGCCTGCCTGCCGATAGAGCTGTGTTATGGTCCCAGCCAAGAACTTCGAAGCTGAGATGTGGGAGAAACATCAGCCCTTCAACCCTCTGCTCTTTCCCCTTGGTTGGAAATGATCCCAGCTGTCTGAAATCCTTCTCCACGTTGCAAAATCAGAGGTGCTGTGGGAAGGTGGGTTTCTTCTGATCCTTGCTGTGTGTAAATGAGACCTGACAGGGTGGTGACCTTTAGGTCCCTTCCAATCCAAACCCTCCTGGGATTCTGTGCACCAGCAGCCAGACCGTGTGGGCACACAGCAGAGTTCTCAGGATCACTTGGGGTTAGAAGTGACCTCTGAAGATCATCCACCAAGGCAGGGTCACCTGGAACAGGTGACAAAGGAACACAGCGAGGTGGGATGTACAATTTTCTCCTTTTCTGCAAATATACTAATTTCCTACTACAATATCCACAGCCACATCCCCAGCTACAAGCTCAAGAACAGTTGCAATTGTGGTTTGTACTGTGTGTAAAGCTAGCCAATGGTCATGATCACAGGGAAGCTTTACCCTGAAGGAATCTGATTAAGTTCTTCCTCCTTCATTGTGTTTGAAGGTTTTTTCCACAAACAGGACAGGATTGCTGGGGGGTTCCTTGAGCTTTTATTGCAGCATCAGCCTCATTGCATGGTTGAGACAATAAAAAGATGGCAAAAGCTCATGTACAGCCAGCAGCAGCCAACTTACCTTTACTATTTTCCACATTTTATCATCTCCTTATGTCCACAAGACCTGCAAGAAGTTTGGTATCTTCACTTATGAGCTGCTGATTCCCCTCCTAGATCTGACTATAACTGACCAAACAATGAAGCCAATATTCTGGGTTATTGAAGGCAGACAATACAAACCTGCCACAGGTTTTGGTATGAGCATGGCAGGAGCAGCTGTGGTGTGGGAATTCCTCTCCACCTCCACCTGAAGGGAAACACTCAGTCCCATGTCCAATTCTGGGCCCTCGGTTCAGGAAGGACATTGAGGGGCTGCAGCACGTCCAGAGAAGGGAACAGAGCTGGGGAAAGGTTTGGAGCACCAGGAATGGCTGAAGGAGCTGGGAGGACTCAGCCTGGAGAAGAGGAGGCTCAGAGGGGACCTTCTTGTGCTCTACTATTATCTTACAGGAGGTTGTAGCTGGGGCGGGGGGGTTGGGATCTGCTCCAAGGGACAGGGTGAGAGGATTTAGTCACAGCAGGTTCAGGCTGCACATGAGGAGGAATTCCTTCACTGAAAGAGTGATTAGACATTGGAAGGGGCTGCCCAGGGTAGTGGTGGAGTCCCCATCCCTGGAGGTGGTTACAGAAACACTGAATGTGGCACACAGTGCTCTGCTCTAGTTGACATGGTGCTGCTCATCGGTCACGGGTTGGACTCGATGATCCCAGAGATCTTTTCCAGCCTGACTGTTCTCTGCTTCCCAGCAGCCAGATCCCGCAGCTCGGGGTCTGAATGGGCCTCCCACACCCCGGGGCACCCAGTGCGGGAACACCCAGCTGCAACCCAGCCCTGGGAGGGCTCCCTGCGACACTCACACCTCTCGCTGGGATATTTCCCCCTTCTGAACAGCGGATAGATAACCATAATTAAATAAAAATTCAAAATGGGGGGTGGAAAGAGAGAGAGAGCGCGAGGAAAAAAAAAAAACCGTCTCCATGGCAACGACCCTACAGCGCCCCCTGTTGCCATGGTAACGGCCAGGCCTTCCGGCGGCGCCCGGAAGTGGCGGGCGCGCGGGGCAGCAATGGCGGCGCCCTCAGCCCCGCCGGCCGCCGCCGCCCTCACGGTGCTGCTCTCGCTCGGTGCCTCCGCGCGCGGGCTGCTGCGGGCTGTCCCCGCCGCCCGCTCCGCCGCCGCGCTGCGCCCCGCTGCCCTGCACGACGGGGAAGGTGAGCGGGGCTGCCGGCGGGCGCAAGCCGCTGCCTCCTTGGCTCCTCTGCCTCAATCCGCGCCTTCCCCAAATCCCAGCAGAGCCTTTGTGTCCCCTCTCTCCGGCCTTCTGTAAATCCCAGCAGAGCCTTTGTGTCCCCTCTCTCCGGCCTTCTGTAAATCCCAGCAGAGCCTTTGTGTCCCCTCTCTCCGGCCTTTTTCTTGTCCTGCCCCCAGCCCCCATTTCTCTGCATTTCCTCAAGCCCCTCTCTGGGTCTGCTGCTCCCCTCCTGTCCCGCTCTCCGTGTCCCTTCCCGCTTTCCGTGCACTTCCCCTGACTTCACCGAGCCTGCTGGGCACCCATTTCAGTCCCTCGGCGTCAGGCTGCTCCCCCACACCCTCATCTCTGTCCTCTGACAGTCAGCGCCATGGATAACACTACTGGGAGCTTGAGGGATTTGTGTTTCTCAGTCCCTGTGGTATTCCCAGAATTATTTTTATCACACTTTTAATTCCCAGTGTTCCAGCTTACCCCGTGCAGTGATTTCCTTGATCAGTGCAGGGCTCTGAGCTGACGGGTGGATTCCACCATCTCCTCACGTGTCTCCAGGGGTTGCACTGCCTTGTTTTGTTTCTCACTGGTATTTTTCTGGCTGTGGAACTGAGCTTGATGGGAGGGAGGTGGAGAAGTCTGTCTCAATCCTTGCTGTGTGCCTAGGAGAACACCTAAACAGAGGCCCCAGAAGCACTTCTGAGGTGTGATAACCTCCAGACATTTTTGGGGATGAAAATCAGCTTGCCGGCAGTTTAAGAAATGTTTCTCTTTTTTGCCAAAATTGTCAGTACCGTAACAGTTATTTTTATGTCTCTTGCCTTCTCTTTTAATGAGTCTGAAATTTACTACGGATGCTGTTGCTTTTTTCCAGGCAGCTTCCCAGGAAGCAGCAAGAGCCAGCCCATATGTTTGTGACACCCAAGATAGCACTCATTTTCACTCTATCTGCTTATTTATGGCTGGTTTTTAAGGCCTCAGGTTCCTTCTCTTCTACATCAGGATAGAAATGAAAGCTATTAATTAATCCTGTGGGCTCACTCTCCCTGTAATTGTTTTATAGTGACCCCAGTGCCTGTCTGAGGTGCTGCTGTGCTCAGTTCACAGGTTGATCACCTACATCTTCATCTACGAGGACCTGATCTCCCTGGCCTGTGGTACTGTTATCATCTGGTACTTTGCTGGCAGCTTTGAGAGGAACGTGGGCACGGTGAAGCACTGCATCCTCACTGCCACTTTCTCCGTGCTCTCTGCCCTCCTCTACCTGTCCCTCCAGCCCCTTGTCTCCCGGCTGCTGGAAGTGGGAGATGCCAAGGGCTTCATGCCAGTGGCTTTTGCCATGCTGGGGGTTTCCACCACCCGCTCACGCATGAAGAGGACTTTGCTTTTTGGCTGCAGAGTTCCTGTGGTGCTGGTGCCGTGGCTTGGGCTCTGCCCAGCGTGGTTTGTGCCTCACTCTTCTCTCTTGGGGAACCTGTGTGGGCTCCTGGTTGGGGAAGCCTGTATCCTTTCCAAGTGGCCAGAGCGGGATCGTGGTGGGAAGGAAGTGCTGTAGTTCTCACTGCTGAGGTGCACTGGCTCTTCCTGGACTCTTGCCCTGCTCTAAACCCTCACTGGCTTTTCTCATTCTCATTCTCATCCCATCCCATCCTGCATTTGTGTTTGCCCTCCCTCTGCCCTTCCCAGTGCATGCAGAGCACGTGGAGCTGAGGAGGAGGATGGTCTCTGAAGGTGGATGATGTTCTCTGAAGGTGGTGCCTGGGTAGAGCTGGGAGAATTCTCTAGGGAAAGTGTTTTGGGAACAGAGGGGGACTGAGTGTGGCTGTGTCAGAAATGAGTGTGTTTTGTCCTCAACTCTCCTTAACAAGCTCCTGACTTCAGATGGGCTTGGCTACTGCTTCTGCTTGGATTTTCCAGAGTCCGTGGGCTCTAAGCTGGACCGGGTGTTCCCTTTCACTCTGCTGAAGAGGATCCCAGGGCTGAAATACATCCCAGGGTCCTCAGCAGAGAGAAGAGCCTCTGAAAACAGCACGTAAGTACAGGAGTTCCTGTGAAACATCTTGTAGGGGCATTTTGAGGTGTGAGTAGAGGCCTTAAATCATCTCTAAAAGCTGCATTGTGCCTCTCCTGTTCTCATTGTGGGTGCCATGGGGAGCAGAGTCACCCATCGATGTTTCACTGGTGGCATTAGTGTGACTAATGAATCACCCCACATTAACTCGACCAGGTTTTTAGTGAAAGCTAAATGGAGGTAAAACCTCTCCTTTGCTGCAAGGGCAGCGTGTACACATGGGAATATTGCAGCTCTGGCTGACAGGAAAGCTAAGCTGTGTAACTCTGCCCCAGCTTTAGGCAGTTGATCCTGGCTAGATGGCTCCCTGGGCCATGATCCTTATCTTTATTTGCCCCACCTCTCCTGCCAGGAATGCCGTGAAGTGAGTTGTGTCCAAAGCTACTTAGGACCAGAGCATTGTAAATTAAGGATGGCACTTACAAAGTTCAGTGCAGGCCTTCTGGTTTCTTTTAACCTTTCAGTGTCAAGGCAATGTTGCTTTGCAGAAAAGAAAGCTTGGGGCCCTCAGCTGACGTGCAGGAAAGGTTTTAAGTTTAACACAAACCACGAGAATTCACTTGTGCTCTAAAAATCTTGAAAATGCAAGTCAAATATTTACTTATTCTGAGGTGTCCTTTCAGTTTCACAGAGGAAAAATAGTTTTCTGTTCAGGGTTACATTCTGTGTATTGTTTAAGCCATCAGCTTGCTGTAAAGTTTTATTTGAAGGAGAAACATTCCCAGGTGTTTGCACTGCCCTCACCCAAGGGAAACCATAAAAGCAACCCTTGCCTGCAGCAGGAGTGTCCCCCAGGTCCATCAGGACACTCAAAAGGTGTGAGTGCTTGCAGGAGAGGCCAGACACACCCAGGGCTTGTGTTTTCTCTCTCTCCCTCCTGTGCAAGTGCAGCTTTTGGGAGGAGAGGGAGCCTGGCTCTGTGCTGAGCCTGTGTCAGCACCAGTCCCGTCCTGCTGTGCACAGCAGCTCAGTGTCTAAACCTGCCTCCTCTGGTGAGGTGACACAGACTGTTGTGACACAAAGGTATTTCCATGAACATTTGACTATCAAGCAGGGTGTGGGAAGGTGTTTCTAGGATGCTTCCACTGCTGCAGCTGAATTTGCATGTCTGTGTCTTAGATACAACCTCTGTAAGCACTTCTGGAGCTTAATTTTTATTATTTTGATGCTTATTTCCAAGCAAGAGTTCTTAATACTTTGGGATTTGTTTTAATTATAAATTTTCATAAGGTTCAGGCATTAAATGGCTGCAAGACAGGAGATATTTCTTTGAAGTCCAGGCCTTGGCATCATGTTTGTGTCCACAATTTAAAAAAAAAAAAAAGAATCCAATAATTAAAAAGAAATCTCCAAGCTTGAAAAACCCAGCATGAGCCAGTCTCTTCTTCTTGCTGGGAACTTGGCACTCATGGCTTCATGAATATTGCTTGGATTCTCAGCTCTCATCCTCTGTGCGTGGGCTGAGCAGCACTCCTGAAGTCCCAGAGGCTGAGCTTCCAGGCAGATTGCCTCTCTCCTGATAGGTTTTGGCAGGATGAGTCATGCCTTCTGCTGGCAAACACCTCCTAGCCCTTGCTTCTGAATGATTAATTTTATTTCTAACTCTTTCATTTCTAACTCTTTCATTTCTAACTCTTTCCTCCTTCCTTTTTTTTCCCCTTTGCTCCATACTCTGGGCTCTTACTGGCACCAAAGGCCTTTGTGTTTTCTTGATAAATAACACTTAGCAGCTGTAACTTCTCCTGATTAATGACTTGGCAGATGTGTCACTCACAGGGCAGGGGGGATGTGCACAGGGATCTCAAAGCATGTTGCAGTTTGGCTTTGTGTATTCCTTGCACAAAGAGTCTGGGGCCAAGAGCCACGCTCGTTTAGTGGGTGTGGAGTGAGAGTGGGTTGGGAGTGGGAACAGCTGTCCTGGGAGGCCACTAAACCCATTTTTTACTCAAGTGCTGCTTATAATAAGAGCTTCTGTTGTAGTGAATCCCTCTGATGGATTGCAGTGACCTCTCTGATCACTGGTCAGGAGGAAATCTGCCCCCAGGGCATTTCCAGCACTAATTAGGCAATGGCAGTTCTGAGCACAGTGTAACCTTCTGTTTTCTTCCTGCCCAGGATTGACGCTGTGCCTGGCACTTACCCCACCCAGAGCTACCAATGCACTTCGCCTCTGGCTCTTCCTGCTCAGCGCAGTGCTCAGAGCCAGGGCTTTCATCACAGCCACGCTCCAGGACACCAGGGACATCAGCAGGGCCACGCTGCAGGACACAGCCTCAGTTCTTCCCACTGCCAAGCCAGAGGTGCCTTTGGAGAGTGCCCTGGGCAGGCCCAGGCCGGGGCCTCGGCGGGACAGTGCTGCCAGCTGGGCGAGTTCTCTGTCCCACAGCGCGTGTGCCCGGCTCAGCCACAGCCACCCACAGCCACGGGCCTTCTGGCTGGGGCTCAGCAAGCACCTGGGGATCCAGCAGCCCCAGTGGCCCCTGTTTCAGCTGGTTTTACCAGAGTCCAGGTGTATTGATCCTCCAGAGAGCAGCAGGACTCGCACACGGGCAGGACCCCTGTGGCTGGGGTGAGTGTTGGTAGCTCCAGTGAAGGCTATTCCCCTGCTACCTGGCACAGTCTACTTGAATTATATTTCCCTTATAATATTTTTTTTTTTTTTTTTTTTTTTTACTTTTTGATGTGGCTGGAGGATGGGAACTCTATCACCTCTGTGAAATTCTCATCCTTTTTAAGTCTTTCTTCTTTGCTGCATTTGGCAGCTTCCTTTTTCCACAAGTCCACTGGAGTTTCAGTGCACCAGCTCCCCAGGCCAGGGTGGGAACCTCAGTGGGAAAACACTGAGCAAATCTGGGGTTTAGTAAGCTGCAGCAATAAGCACTTCCCATTCCTGTCTTTTTTTACAGGTTTGAAGTAGCTAGAACCCAAAAGAATGGGAATCATACAAGTGTTAGTTTGTAACTTAAAATTAAATGGAGGAGGACAATGTTTTACTGGTGACATGTCCACTTGAGAGAGTGCCTTGCAAGGGGCTTGTTACACCAACCTGGGGCAAGAGGATAGAATACAGAGTACCTTCTTCTACCCCTAAACACAGCTCTAAAATGCTGAAGGACCTGTGCCTTCATCAATGGATTGCCTTCATTTTCTGAAAGTGTTGCACCAGCTCAGCCTGTGTCACCAGCACTTGGCAACCTCAAATGCCTGTGAAGCAGTGAGAGACTTTTCAGTAAGGGATTTTGACCCTTTGTGGAGCAAATATTTATAAATCCAAGGAGCTGGAAGGGACATTAACAATGGGTTAGAAGAATTAAGTGGAATGTAGCAGTGCTGTTGGGGGTGTTCACACTGCTCAGCTTTAGAAATCTCACCCACCAATATTAGAACAATCTCTCTGTTTTTTTCAGAGCTGGTGGGCAGGTGTGTGGGAGAGGGAAGTTTTCAGCCAGGGATTTACAATAGGATTCACTGTTTGGTGCCTGAGGCTGTCATGAAGGAGTTTGGTCCAGTTGCTGGGATTTGAGCTTTATTCCCAGCTGTGTAGCCCACTGTACAGTGCCCAGGAGGAATCTGCTGTCTCTGTGTCTCTAAATCAGCCAGGATCTCAACAATTGCTCTTGACTCTACTTGGAGTTTTGCTGTGCTGCATAAAAAAGTGCTCCATCAAGCACAAAGTGCCATTCCTGCTCTTGGAGATGTTCTTGCAGTGCCTCACCCATCCCCAGAAACTCAACAGCCTCAAGACTCCTCCCTGCTCTCGGTGAGCCTGGCCAGAGGCAGCTCTGGCAGCTGCACGTTCCAAACCTGTCCCTGCCTCTTTCATTTTTCCACCATCAGGGTGTGAGCAAACCCTGTGTTGTCATCCAGCTGCTTTACTTCTCCACAGCCCCTCTGGAATGACTGCCACGGTCCCATGTGGGACACGGGGGCTTTCTTTTGGAGGAGACCAAAGTCAATGCTGAGAACTTGCACCTCACAGAAGTAAAACATGAGTAAGAAGCTCTTCTTGGGAAGGTGAGCACCCCAGGCAGGGCTTCCAGCAGGAGGATGCAGCAGCTTGGGAACTAACTTGGAGTTGGGGGACAACTGTTTCATACCTGATTATTTCTCTCCTCTGTGGGATCACAAATGGATTTGATGTCATGGTCCTGTTTTTCCTGCTGCCAGCAATTGTATTGTTATACTTCTACTGTGGAGCAAGAGTGGGATAAGGAGCTTGTTTGGAATTTAAAAGCATGTTTTTCATACCAGGAAAGTAATGCCAGAGAGAACATTGAAATGTTGACACTCCGCTCCTGTTAGTGCCTTGATTTTCCTCCTTGTGTAGTCCTTGCCTGTAAACTTAGGAATTTTACCACTGATTTTTTTCCAGAAGGGGGATGAGGATCAACAGCAATCACAAATGTTGTGTATCTCCAAACTGTGAACTTGAAATAGAATCTGAAGGACTGGTTTTCTCTGGGTTGGTTTATAAGTGGGGAGCTGGAGCCTGCCCCTCCGGGGGATGGGTGGGATGGGATCAGTGGGACTGGATCAGTGGGGCGGGATCAGTGGGGTGGGATCTCTGGGGCAGGATCAGTGGGATGGGATTTCTGGGGTGGGATCAGTGGGATGGGATCAGTGGGGCAGGATTTGAGGGATGGGATCTCTGGGATGGGATCAGGGGGATGGGATCAGTGGGGTGGGATCTCTGGGGGATGGGATCAGTGGGGCGGGATCAGTGGGGTGGGATCTCTGGGGGATCAGATCACTGGGGTGGGATCTCTGGGGGATGGGATCTCTGGGGGCTCGGATCAGTGGGGTGGGATCTCTGGGGGATGGGATCAGTGGGATGGGATCAGTGGGGTGGGATCAGTGGGATCGGATCACTGGGATGGGATCAGTGGGGTGGGATCAGTGGGATCGGATCAGTGGGATGGGCTGCCGGCGGGATGGATGTAGCTGCGTGTCAGGCTGGTGGCTGGGGACGAGCACTGGGGACAAGCGGTACTGCACGCTGGAGAACGCTGGAATCCAGTTGTTTTCCCGTGTCCAACTCTATCAGTGGATCTGGTGAGTGAAGTTGCTGAGCGGGAGGAAATAGGTTGGGATGAGACATTTGCAAACGTGTAAGGCTGAGAAGAGCATTTAAATTTGGAAGAGTGAGAGGTAAAACATCAGCTTGCTGGGCTTTGGCATCTGCCTATCTAAGCTCAGAGTAATGTTACTCATCACACATTGCAGTACCCGCTCATTTCCTTGGTGGGGAGACAGAGAATTGAAGTTCCCAAAGCAGGGAAAAAAAGAAAAAAGAAAAGAAATCAATAATCTCCCAGTTCAGCCTGGGGTGGCTGCCCTTGGGGTGGCTGCCCCTGGGAACGTGCTGTCCCTGGAGGTTTGTTATTCTGTGCCTCTGGCTCAGAAAAAACTGTCACTGCATTCCATGCCAGGATGTGTCTGTGCACAGGGTGTGCAGAGAGTCCAGAAAGCCCCTTGGGTTGCCCCCGTGTCCTCAGAGGGTCACTGCAGAGTGACAGTCTGGGGACAGTGCTGGGAGCAGAGCCAGCTGTTCCCTGTCCTTGGAGTAGCAGTCCTGCCATGGGAAGGATTCTCTGGAAGTCCAAGGCCATCCCCTCTGCTCTTCAGCTCCCACCATGGTGCAAGGGAAAAGGAGTCAGGGATACACCAAGAAAGCAGAACTGACTTGGACCTCCACTGCTGCCCCATGCAGGGGTGAGGGGGGACCCACAAAGTGGGGAGGCCTGGCAGGGGACATGGATGCTGGAAGGAAAACAGGTCCGTGTTTCTTTGCTTGCCTGTCAGTAACTTTTGGCCAAGCACACCCATGCAGACATCCTGACTGGGGACCAGGTTCCCTGTGCCAGGGCCAGCACACTGCCAAACACCACCTCCATGGCTGTCCCATGGTGTCCCCTGGTGTTTGCTGGCACTCTGAGGGTTCTGTGGCCAAAAGTTCAGCCTCAAACTGTGCTGGGAACAGAGGAGAGCTGGAGAGGTGGGAGAAATCGGTGCAAAGTGCTGACCAAACAGGTCGCTGTAGGCTGCAGGACTCTGCTGCTTGCCCCTGGGAGGTTTGGGCTGGGTGTGATGAGCTCCCAACCCCTTCCCTGAGGGGACAGAACAGGACAGGCTGTGCCATAATGCCAGTCTGGGCACCTGATGGGATGACCCCAGCCATAGACCTGCTCTGTGCTGCCATCCCCTCAGTGCCACTGGGATCTGTAACCCTGTCCGTTCACCCCACGGGGTATGGTCACAGAACAGCCACGCCAGGGAGTTTCCACGGGGTCAATCCCAAAACTGATGTGAGTAGCACCAGTACTCAGGTGCCTCACACCCCTCGACCCTCTGCTGGAATGCTGTCAGGAAACAGGGTGTCCCTGCAGCCCTGGGCTGGTGTTCCTCAGGTCTGTGCCCCCTCCTCACACCTCTTCAGGTGCCTGCCAGGCCCAGCTCGAACTTTGGTCCTTCCCCAAGTCTTTTATTGACTCTGGAGCGAGCGTCAACACAGCGATGGCGTCAGGATGGTGACTTTGGATGTGCCAGTGCCCAGCAGGCAGGCAAAGAGAGGAGACCCAGCCCGGGGTGACCCCACACAGCCATGGGGCTGCTCAGTGGGGTCAGGGCAAGCTGTGCTTCTGGCTTTGGCCAAGCTGGAAACAGCAGAGTCGTAACCCAGCTTCCCCCTCCAAAAAAAACCAACAGGAAAGAGAGCAGCAGTCCCTGTGGGACATGGGGCCTGGAGGTCTGGGTTGTGAAATGTCCCACTGGGACTGCTGGGGATGCTTCCAGAGCTGCTTGAGCAACTTCCTGGTGTGGCAGCGAGAGAAAGACCACCCCAAACAATCCAAATCATCTGGGCTGTGGTTAAATCAGGAGCATGTGCTTCCCTGGGTGAAGCAGAGGATGGCAGTGACTGCGTGCCAGCCTGCACCTCGGGGTCCCCTTGACCGCCCACAGGGCCCTGTTCTGGGCAATGACCTTGGGGGAAACTGGGAGTCCCACAGCAGCACCCACGAGTGGCCACAGACAGACGGGTCCTGGGTCTGCAGGTGCTGGCTCAGCCCAGAGTTAGTGCCCAAAGCTGACCTCGGCACCCTGACCCCAGTTCGTGACTCCACAGTGACCCAAGCCCTGCTCCCACTGTCACCCCAATTCTGGCCCCACCATGACCCCAATGCTCACCCCCAAACCACAATGCTGATCCAAGCCTGCCTCCCCTCTTGAGCCTGCCCCCCAGGCCAAGGCCCTGGACCCTGTTCTTCTGCACCCTGACCCCACCCGTGACCTCCCCACGCCCCAATTCTGGCCGACCCCTGACCCACCCGTGACCTCCCCATGCCCCAATTCTGACCGACCCCTGACCCTACCCGTGACCTCCCCACGCCCCAATTCTGACCGACCCATGACCACCCCACGCCCCAATTCTGGCCGACCCCTGACCCCACCCGTGACCACCCCACACCCCAATTCTGGCCGACCCCTGACCCCACCCGTGACCTCCCCACGCCCAAATTCTGACTGACTCGTGACCACCCCACGCCCCAATTCTGGCCGACCCCACTTTCCCCCGGTCCCTCCCGCCGCGCCTGTCCCTTTAAGACCCCCGTCCTGGGGCTGTACCATGCGCCGCTGCAGAGGGGTGATCTCCACAGGTAGGCGCGCTCGCCGCCTATTGGCGGGCGGCGGGGGCGGAGCGTGCTCCCCCGCGCGCGTGCGCGGGTGGTGCGGCCCGCTGTACGTGCCGGCCGCGCCGGGGCCGCGGGAGCCGCCAGCGGCAGACGGGCCGGAGCGGCGGAGGGTGCGGGACGCGGGGAACGGGCCCCTGTGGGTGAGGAGGGTGCGGGACCGGGGGTCCTCTGGGGCTGAGGCGGGGGGCTGAGCTCACCGCCGGGGCTCTCTGTGCTGGGGAGGGGCGGTCCGGCACCCCTGGTGGGGTTGGTGTGGGATGGCGGCTCTCGCTGTGTGTGGGACTGACACAGGGGTCCCGTGTGGCGGGTGAGTGGCACCGCTGCCGCTGGCGGGGAGGTCGATGTGAATGGAGCTCTGTTTGAGGGGGGACAGGGATGCCCAGAGCCCCCCGTTCACTGGGGGGACTGGTGTGAGGGGGCGTCCTGTTACTGGGGGTACTGAGGTGTTTAAAGAACCTTCTTACTGGAGGGGTAGGGCTGGGATGAGCCCGTTATCTGGGCGGGGTGCTGTGGCTGTCCCCCTCGTGTTTGAGGGGGACCGGCATGGCCAGAGCTCCCTTATCTGGGGAGTCTGATGTGACTGATCCCCTGTTAGGAACTGGGATGACCAGAGCCTGTCTTGTTTGGGAATACCTGGTGGTGCTGAGCCCCTGTTCCTGGGGATACTGGTGTGGGCGATGTGCCCCGCATGGCAGGCATGGCCCCGCTGTTATTTGGGGTGCCCCATCACGTCTGTCACCCCGGCAGGGTGATGCCCACCCTGCCTTGCTTCCACAGCACTGAAGGGCTGCTGAGACTTACCCCATCCCGAGCTGGTTAAAAGCCTTTAACGAGCTTAATTTTCTGGCATATCCCTGGAGAGCGTTATTCCCAGCGTTTAATTTATCCCTTTGCTGCAGGCTGGGGTGTTCTGCTGTTTCTCCATCTATTTCACTTTATAAACTGCTGGGGTGTGGGAAGGCTGTTTGCTCCTGACTTTTCCTGGTGGAGTTTGTTGGAAGAATGAAAGTACTCACCTAGAGTGTGTGCTTGTCAAAGGAAATAATGGGAACCCCGTGGTTTTGGGAATATTGAGGCTGGAGGGGGTGAAGGTACCTGATGGTGGTGTTGGGAGTTAGTCATCAGAGTGGAATTGGTTCTTGGGGAGTTGCCTTAGTTGCAGGAGCAAGCACTGCTGGTGCAGCTTGGAGTGTGCTTTGTTCTTTAGGGATAGCTTTTGGAGTGTGAAAGGAAATAGGAATGCTTAGTGGAATGTGTACAGAGAAGAGGGATCACTGAGGCTCTCTGTGAGTCTGGAAAAGTGAAATGGGTTTGTGTTTTTACAGCTCTTTTTAAAAAGTAGGAACATATATCTGGCTGAGAGGCTGGAAAAGTGCAAGGAAGAAGGAATCAGGTCTCTGTTTCTGAGTTGTGGAAGTGAATCAGAGCGTTGGTGGGGACATCCCCTTCAGAACAGATCTCTACACTTTGTGTGGGCTTGTGAGGAGCTGTGGGGTTTCGTAATTTTTTTGCTTAGTGGGGTGCAGTGGTGTACACATCCCGTTTTCTAGACGGAAGGGAATGGGCTTTCTTCCAATATTTCTGTAATTCTCTGAGAAATCCCAAGGAGCTGTTGCACATAAGCAAAGCAGCTCGCTGATTAATCTGCTGCAAATGAGGAAATCGGTGTTTTGTCTGGGAGGGCTGCTGAGCCAGACCCTTCCTGGAAAACCCAGCATTGTCTCAGTACAGGTTTTTCTTGGGCTGGTTGACAGCACTGAGGCAGGGTGTGCATGGCATGGAGTGTATCTTAGTTTTGCAGGTGGATGTGATGGTGCACGAGAACGGTATTTGCAGAACAGGGAGCTACAGGAACTAACACCAGTTGAACACCTTCTTTTAATCTTTGAATGTGAAAGAAAGGAGGGTGTAGTTTCACAGATCCGGCTTAAGACCCTGTTAATTAGTCCTGCTCTAATTGTGACAGAGAAGAACCTCTTGCTTGTCACCACTTCACAGTTGCTTCCTGTTCAGTCAGTAATTTCTGGGTTTGTGTCTCCTGGAAAGCCACGTGCCTTCTACAACTTTCCTTTTGTTTCTTGCAGAGCAGCTGGAGGAGCTCGACAGGGCCTTACAACCAAAACTCTTTGAACTGTCTCAAGGGAGACTTTCTGCTCACCTCCCTCTGTGCTGGGGCTCACAGGCCCCACCAACTCCTGTTTGCTGACCCATAGGTGCAAGGTAACCCCTTTCTTTTGAGTGTCACAGGTTGTGGAGCATCTCTGGGTGCAGCTGGGTGTGGGGAGGGTGGCTGGCAATGGGTGGGAGTGATGGCTTCTTTACCTGCAGCAAAAGCAAAGTGTGAAACTGTATGACTGAAATCCCATTTGGTCTTTACTCTCTCCTTTGCCTGTTGGGATACAGCAAACGTTGTGTTTGCTCAGTTCTGAAGGACTGAGGAAAAGGCTTCCCTGCTCAGGTTTGTGCTCCTGCCATCTGCTCCCGTGGTATAAAAGAAAACCACTTGCAGTTACCTCTGTGGGCATTGAACTTTGTTCTGTTTCCTGATGTCTACTCTCCTGCCTGAAAAAACACAATTCTTAGAACTTGCATAATTTGCTTTCCCAGTGTGATCATTTGATCCCAATTATGAGATTACTTTGTACACGCTGTTGTAGAGAGTGAATCACCAGCCCTGCAGTGACAGGTGCACCTCTGCCAAGAGTGCTTTATAGGCTTGAAAATTTCATAGGTCAGAATAATTCATAATTGCAGGCTGCTCATAATCTCTTGCTGTTTGTACCTGAGTAAACATTTCAGGTTAATTGTGGGCTGCTATCACTCATGCAATCCAGACAGAGAGACCAGAAGCCATGTCTGGTGGCTTCTAGAGGGCCACAAGTCCAGAGAGTGGCTGAGGTTGACTCATGGTGGCAGATTATTGTAGTATTTTTGCTTAGTAATCAGCCACGTCCATGCCTCCAGTCACTCCTTTGCAAGGAATGGAGGTATTGATTTATTTACCTTCCTTTCTTGCTGTGTGGAGTAGGAGATGGCAAGGTTTGGAGTAAGATATGGGGTTGGATTTTATTCCGTGGTAAAATCTGGCTCTGGCAGTAGACGGGAAGTCTGCTGGGAAGGTTTAACAACCAACCTAGGGAGTTGATAGTTTTGTGGTGCTGGATCTTGCTATGTGGTTGTGAAACACATCAATTGACTCTCTTTCATGGGTCATTGCTGCATCTCCTCTCTAACTCCAAGCTTTGGAGGAGCAAGTTGATAAAATGCCTGCAAGGATTGTGCAAGTCCTGGTTGTGTAACAGGACTCAATGCATAACTGCTGGAGGTAAGAGGAGGAGCTCCTGTTACAAAGGAACAAAAAACCCTGTGTCAAGTATCTTCTTTGTGTTCATTCTGCGGGGGCATTGGAGAGCTGTGGTTTTTGCAGCTTGGGACCAGCCTTTCAGCCTGTGACCCCTGAGTTCTCTGATATCTTGTGGCCTGTGCCATGTTTTGGGTATGGAATTGATGTTCTGAGGTCTGCTGTGGCTGTGTGTGATTCCCAGAACATTTCAAAAAGGTGAGATCAGATGCTGACCCATGGCAGGCAGGGAGGTTGTGTAGGGTGATTGCAAACCCCCTGATAGGGCAGGACAGCTCTAATGCTGAGTTTCCAAGAGGTGCAAGGATCATGCAGTAACACCTCCAAACCCTACAGCAACACAGGAGATGGGCTTGTAATGTCTGAAAAGCTCTTCCATTCTCAGAGGAAACTGGGGTTATAAATACAGAATATCCTGGCTCCTTACAGACAGTGTTTGATTCTCTTGAAATAAATAAATCCCTAAAACACGCTGCTCTGATCAAAAGTCTTGACAATTCTGAAAACTTTGCAAGATCTGCTTAACCCTGTCCCTCTGGTGCTCTTTCAGCTGTTGGTTTCAAAGGAAACCTCTCAAAAGAGACCAGCATTGGAGGGTTTTGCTGTTCAGACTTTTCCTGGTGGAAGAGGTCAAAGTCTCTGGCTACTGACCCCATCCATAGGGCTCCTTTCCCAGTGGTGGCATAAGGCAAAGCCACAGGCACAGGGTGAACAAACAGCCTGTGGGCAGGAGAGGAGCTTCCAGCTCTGGCTGTGGCACCACAGGGTACAGCACTCACAGAAGAGGCTGCTGAAAATTACATCATTTTGCCTCTTGATCTTGGAAAAGCATCTTCAGCAGGACCTGAACCATGCAAAGTCCATGCCTGGATGGGTTGCTCCTGAGGTTTTGCAGCCCTTTGAGCCGTTGTTGGCCTGAGGTGCCCATGGAGTTGGCAGTAGGGTGGTTTAGAACTCCTGCAGGCTTGTCCCTGCTCCTGAATATTGGTGCTGCCAAGACCCCTGTTCCTCTTGCAAGCAGTTCCTGAGGTGTGGTGCTCTGGATTTGTCCCTCACTAGGAGGGAGGCTGGAGAGCAGTGTTGGTTCACAGGGGGTCAGTTCCCTGCCATTCTCTAGTTTTGTTTATCCTGTAACCCTGAGCTCCTGCTTTTCTGTGCTGGCTCACATTAATCTGTAAAGGAAGGTGTTCAAGTGCCTAAGCTGGGGAGATCCCTATATTTAAAGGTTCAGAGTCAGGCTTTTATCTCATAACAGGAAATGTGCAAGTTCAGTAATTCTAGCTTGCTTTAAGGCAGCTTGGCAAGTTTGAATTCATTTTTGTGTGGGATAATGCCTTAAATCCTTTGATTCAGTGCCCTGGGCTCACTGCACAGCCCCACCTGAGCATACTCATAGCATAGATTTCCTTTCTGCCTCAAGTAAAACAGTTCTTGTTCTCTTCCTTGCTTTTGCAGCTGCTCTGCTGTCCTTGAATAAGACCCAGGGGCCAGAAAACATGCAAGTGTGACACAGTGGAAGCTCAAATATGCAGTATTTCAAGATCCAGACTGAGTGATGCACACTGTGTGTCTGTCCAGTGCCTAAAATAGTAGTTTTGCTGATGTCAGTGTGTCAGGCTCTGGCTAGAAGACACCTTTCACAGTGAGAGTAACTTTTGTTTCACAAAAAAACCCAGCAGTTTTTGTGTTCCCTTCCCTGCTTGAGGTGCTGCTGCAGCCAACTCCTCAGTTGGGATTGGGGTTTCTGAGCTGGTGGAAGAGTGCAGAAGCATTTCCCTGGTTTGGTGTGGGGCTTTGCTATTTTCTACCCTTCTTTATTGAGCTGGTTAATGGGAAGCTGTGGGAAGAAAGTGTTAGGGGAGCTGTAGGTGTAGCAATCCTTTCCAACAGAGGCTGAAGGAAAGCTGTGAGGTTTCTCACTCTGCCTTCCTTCCCCACAAGCCCAGGGACTCATCTGTGTGATGATTCCCACCCAAAACATGGAGACCAGGCCAAACAGGGCCACTTGTCTGGCCAGGTCAGCATCCTCTTGTTGATGGGAAATGCAATCTCTGTGTGGCAGAGCTGTGGAGAAAAGACTGATCCAAGGCGATTGTTAAATAACCTGGATCTGAGCACCTGCTTTTGTTTTGGAAAGGCCAACCTTTCCTCCCAGGTCTCCTTTTACTAAAAGGGAAAGTAAAAAGAGCTCATTTGAGGCTGGCACAGGCTGATGCAAACAGAATTTCTTAGTCTAATTTGTTGCATTTCTAAGAGGAATAAGAGAAGCTCAGGTTTTCCCGAGGGTGCCCTGGCCCAATATTACAGACTAACATGCAGGAAGTGTTGGCTGCAGTGGGGTTCAGAGGAGATCAGACACAGTCTGGGCAGGAATGCCACCTCCACCACAGCCCTGCTGTTTCTGCTGCTGCTGCTTCTCCTCCTTCCTCTTGGGATTGTGTCTGTGGGGCTCCTCTTCCTGCCTGTAACCATCAGTAACCTGCCTGAAGTCCTTAGTGGGTGAAAGAAGAAAGCCCTTGGCTGGTCACAAGACTGCATTCCTGTTTGTGGGCAAGTCTCTTCCTTCTGCTGCACTGCTGCTGCTGGGAGGAGTGATGGGGTCCCAGTGCAGCTTCCTTTTGGTGCTGCAGTCTGTGAACTCTCCAAAAACTTTGCAGACCTGTGAGAGGCCTGTCCAGTGGTTTTCTTTTTTTCCTTCCAGATGTTTCAGTTGTTTAATTTCTATTTACAGCCTTCCTGTTTTGCTGTTTTATCTAAAGCTCAGGCTGCAGGTCATGCTGTACAAAGAATTGGAGTTTTCACTTGGTTTGGTTGCTTATCATTTATGTGTCTGTCCTGAGGCTGACAAAATTGGGGCTGTGCCATGATGCTGGTGGCAAAAAATGGTCTCTGATTTTAAACTGGGCTTTTTTAAGGCTTCTTCTCAAGGCTGATTGTGCCCTTAAGCTGTGTTGTGCCATGGTCAACACAAGAGGAAGGGCAATCCCTGGGGCAGACAAGGTGGGAAGGGAAATCTGGTCACACACACCTGCCTCTGCCTTGGGAATTTAGGATGGTCCTTTCTGGTCAGAAAGAGGTGTCGGGCAGATCTGGTGGCAATGGGGACATCCCCAGCCATGCAGAGCTCCCAAGGCTGGAAATCTGACAGCTGCACTTCCTCTCTGCTCCCTGAGGTGGTGCTGAGTCAGGACATGAGGGTCATTGTCACATGGCTGCAGGGAGCACGAGTGCTCTCCCTACCAGCAGTGCCCTCTTGTCCCCTGCCCTGTGGGGCTGTGCAGGGCTTGCAGTGGGAGTCTGAACTGGAGAAGGTCAGTCTGAAGAAGCTTTTTGAGTGTGTGTTGCTGTTATATCTGCTGTTAGACTTGCACGGACTCCAGTTAATGGTAATTTGTGAAGCAGTCCTTTGGTAAGTGTTGCTGGATGGGTTGGGTGGGCTGGTAGAGAGGGAATGGGCATGCCAGAGCTCGAGTTGGCACCATGACGGTGCTGTGAGAAACGAGGGGATCTCGTTGCTGCTGGGGTGGTTTGGCTCCAAGCCGCTGCCTGCTGTCCCTGCTGCTGCTCAGCTGAGACAGCCTGGGCCTTGCTGTGGGCTGGGAAGGCTCCTCTGCCTGCACCCTGCTGAGCTCCCTTTGAATGGAGCCTGGCACCGCTGCCAGGGTCGGGCAGAGAGTGACTGGTGGCATTGCACGTTTGTCACGCAGTTCCTCTTCAGCTCCATCACCGCTGATTCTCTGCAGGTGTCCAAAGGGTGCTGATGCTTGGGAAAACTGTGGGTGTTTTGATAGATCTGGGGGTGCAGCCTCTGTGCCAGCCATGCTAGGGCAGGCAGCGTCTGCAGGGCATGTGGGGATTGTGGGGATCCCTCTCTGGCGTGTTGGGCTGCAATCAGGGGCTCCTTGGTGTTCCAGCTGCTGCTGGGGATCGATTATCAGAGGTGGGAGCAGTGAGCAGCCACGGGCTCTGCTTGCTCAGCAGTTTTCCTTCTCCTTCCCCTCTGGGCGAGGCTGACGCTGCACATCAGGGTGTGCTGATGGTGGCACGGGGCAGAGTCAAGCACACAACTTGGTCACTCATTTTTGGGGCAAGAGTCACAGACTGCAGTCCTGCTGTGGGACTGGGAAGTCCAACTGAGGTACTTGAAACTCATCACAGAAAGAAAAGGCTGCATTAAGAAAAAGGCTACTTCAGTCTCAAGAGAGACATCTTCCTGCCCACATTGCCAGTTTAGCTTCAGAGCCAAGGCTTTTGGTCACAGGAGATGCCACAGTGTGACTTTCACAAGGGGAAACCTCCCAGCCACACTTTGTGATTGTGGTGCTGTGTCCCAGGGTGCTTTTGGGGGCACATGATGCACCATCTCCTAGTGCAAGGAAGGAGAATAAATCCCTTCAGGTTGCTAACAACTTGGCTTTCATCACTCCTTTCTTGTTTTTTGTAATACTGTTTCTATATATATTTAAGTATTTTTAACCATGTGACGTTATAGACCCTTTAGTCTGTGTGGAAATTATGGGGAATTTGAGGATGCCTGGCACTGAGAGTGCTTCCAGTCTTTTTTTTCCAAGGTGTGCATGAGAATGAGGAATACATTTAATTTAATCTGAAGATGAGATACATCTGTTTGCTGGCACAGAGATGTGCAGAGATTTGAATTATTGTGAGCTGCCATGTATGAAGTAAATTCTCACATGCAAGGGCTGAAAAGCTGTGCTGAAACACAGCATTGCTTGATTGCAATCTTTCAAAATATTGTGACTTTCTGTGTGATGTAAATGCTCACATCTTGCTGAGACTGATGGCTTTGCTGTGTGCACAAACAGGGATCCAGGAACTGGAGCCACCATTAAAAAAAGCCCCAGGGATATGGACATCTTGTCTTACCTTGACTGAACATATAATAAAAACTGTGAATAAAATGACCACCCTTAGAACTGTTGCCAGGGAAAGTTTTACTTCCGCATCATAAATTTCCTTTTCCTTTTAAAAACCTAGTCTGATTCTACCAAGGCTCCTCCAGAGACTGCAGGATTCCCAGGATAGCTAAATTTCAAGTAAGAGTCAGATTTCTTTTCACTGGAAGTTAATAAAGGACATGTATTTGAAAATGACATGAAAATGTCATTTGAAAATGACAAATTTGCTGTGAACTTCTGGAAAACAATTGTTACAGCCAGCTAAGTGAGTCTGAGATAAACTCAACGATAATCTTCCTGTGCTGGGTGAAGTGAGTTCAATAGTTCCCAAGTTAAGACAACCCTTTAAAAAAGAGAAATGAGGCCTAATTTCACATTCTTTGCCTTTCCCTTGCTATGTCTAAGCACACCATTTCCTGAGGGTAGGGGTGGTGAAGGGAAAGCAGGAAGAAGAATCTGTAGCTGAGATATAAGCCTTGAATAACCAAATGTCCAGGACCAGAGAGAGCCCAGCATCAAAATTAAAGCAGCTCTTGTCACTGGGCCATGATCAAATTTCCTCCCAGCGTTAGAGGTCAGTGTGGAAACTTTGTGCTGTGGAGATTGTGAATGAAGAGAGGAGAGCACACCGGGCTGTGCTCCATGCACCAGAGCCATGAACCTCCTGGAATGTTCCCTTCCCTGGCTGTGGGCAGCGAGTGGGTGGCCGGGCTGCAGGTGCAGGGATCCCCTTTGAAGCCCTGGAGAGCTGCAGTGTGGTCAGTGCAAGGAGACAGCACAGCTTCCACCCCCACATCCACCCAGGCAGCGTTCCTGGGAGCTGCCTCCCCGAGGATGCCTCTCCAGGGCAGCCCTGCTTGGGAGAGCAGACCTCCTCTGGAGGCTTGAGAAAGCCAAACCCCTCTGCTCTAGGTGCTGAAGCTCTGCTGCTTTGAGCACAGTGGTGAATTTGGTGGAGACAAAGCCCTCACCTGGCTGAGGAGAGCACAGGCTCATTCTTGCCCTCATTCTTGGCCCGCACAGGGCAGCTCATCAATATCCATGTCTGAGCTGTCTGGAGCTGGGAATTGCTGTGGGCCAGGTGCTGCTCACCACAAACAGGTCTGGTTTGGAGCCCTCTCCACGTTCAGCTGGTGACAAGGGAGGCTGCTGTGCCCTGTGCAAGGAGCCTTTCCCAGGGCTCAGCTGCTGCTGGGTTTGCTGCTCAGAAGGGAAAATGCTGCAGCTCCTGCCCCAAACCAGCTCAGCATGGTCTCCATCAGCCTTGTGTTTATTCATGGCTTCCTCTGAGCAAAGGTTTGTCATTGCCTTATGTGCCTTGGGATTTTCAGGGAAAGTGAATGAAACACGGGGTGTTCTGAGGGTAATGTTACTGACATGGCCATCACTGCCCTGAGGGTAATTGAGGAATTCCCTGAGGGGAATTGTCCACCCTTGTGTAATCTGGGCAACGAAACTGCTGCTGAAAAAATCAAGCCACCTTACAGAGTTGGAGATATTTATTCCTGCCTGTGTCTGGGCACTGATTCCTCCATCTCTTTGCAGAGTTGGGCTGTGCTGTGCACAGAGCAGTTGAGGCTCCCTAGGAATCACGGACTGCTGGCCCTCAGGGCTTCTTTGCCCTGAGATGTAATGAGCAGTTCAAGTGATGAGTGAGATGACAAAAACCAAAACTCTGTGAAATAAAGGGTTGACTGGCAGGTTTTGGCTGAGATTGGCTGAAATTCCTACAGGTGGGGTGGCAGAGGGGAAGAGAAGAGCTTGTAATTAAAATTTCTGAGCTTTCATCAGGAATAAAAGCAATAAATCAGCCACATTCTTCCCCCACCAGCATATTCCCCTGGAGCTGGTTGCCAGACCAGCTCTTTGGTGATTTACTGGAACCAGATAAGGAGGAGGAGATGGACCCTCCAGGGAGCTGTGCCTTTTTGGCAGCTAAGCCCCAGTTGTGGAGGCTTTAACTAACAGTTTAGTCTACAGTTGTACAGAAGGAACATCCAGCTCTTGCTTGGCTCCAAGATCCAGAGATGGACAGCCTTTTTGCAAGGAGGGAGGACAGGGTGACCTGCCTGATGGAGAGGAATGTGCAATTTGCTTGTCTGCAGTCACATCACTCTTATTTTTCTTCCAGCACCCTGCTTTAGTGTTTTCTGTGGGAACCTAATGGGAAGCTTTGCAGTGGTGTTTTAGTGCTCTTTGTAATGCAGTTACTATCCAAGTTCTCCACCAAATGAAACTTCTTGTGTGGTTGAGCATTAATTGGGTTGCCAGAGTACCCACCCAGGGTCACTGCCAGGAGACTGTGGACTTCTCCCTGTGTTCCACAGGGAGCTTTTTATGGCTGGTGCCCTGTGGCACAGGGCTGTGTGTTGTCTGGAGCTGGTCTTCCCTTGTGGGGGTGACAACAAGGGGTTAATCTTTGCTGAAGGTTGTGCCTGGTCTCCCTCGATAGTGCTCCCTTAATCGTCACTTTCCCTTTTCTTCCCAGTTCCTGAATGTATTAGTATAACCTTGAACTTCAGTCACTTTTATTTCTCAGCCATGGCATGTATCCTGTCCCTCCTGTGACACCACCACAGCTCTGAGTCACTTTTCTGGGTGCAAGTTCAAATGTCCATGGTCTCCTGTCTTGGCAGGATGCCCAAGTACAAAGAGAGTCACTTTGCCCTTCCAAATCAAGTTTAGAGTTAATTATCTGTTTATTTGGACAGCGTGTGTCCTTGCTTGTAGGGAAGATAATCTTGCCATCTGGATTAGGGTCAGAGGAGTTCAGAGCTTTGGCACAGCAGTGGGAGGGAAGGAGGGATGGGTGGCTCCCCAGGGGAAGGACAGGGACCATAGTGCTGCTTGGGTATTTGAGGGCTGGATGTTCATCCTTGTGCTACCACAGACTCTGGGTATGACTGTGGGCAAGTCCCAAATCACTTAAACTTTGTCTTGGTAAGTGTAAAGGAGCAATTCAAGGGGATAGAAGTTAAACTGGGGGAGATCTAGAGGAGAGTAGGAAGCCAAAGGCCCAAGGAGAGATGGAAGTAAATCCAGCCTGCAGTGGAGTAAATCAGAAGTATTCATCATTTGTGTTGTAACAGCCTGTTGTGGGGATGCTCATGGCTGTGATGCAAAGGCATCTATCCAAAGAGTTGTTGGGTACCCTTGTGCTCCTAAGACTAAGTGTAAAGCAAAATGCATTTTTGGGTGTCCTTTAATGCTGTCCCATGTGGCTGCTGGTGCTCACTGTTTTTCCTTGCTCACAGTGCCTCTGCCTGCCATGGGGGAGCCCGGCATGGACCCAACCATGCCAGCTGCTGACAGCCCTGCACAGCAGGACTCTCTCTTCAGCATGATGGACGTGTTCCTCATCTCCCTCATCACTGGACTTTTTACCTACTGGTTCTTCTTCCGCAAGAAAAAGGAGGAAGTGCCTGACCTCCCCAAAATGCAGTCAGTGTAAGTAACAACTCTCAGGCCATGTGGCTCTAAGGGAGCTTTTCTCTCTTGCTTGTGGTGGGTTCTGGGAGGCTCAGCTGGATTGTGGGAGGTCGGTGAGGGGGCGTTTCTCTGCCCTCAGCTGCTGTGGGTTCTGCTCAGGATGCAGAAATCCCTGTGGAAGAGCCAGGCTGCAGTTCTGCCTTACCCCACCGTGTGGCCCAAATTGGGAATTGGTCTTTCCTGAGCAAGGCAAAAAAAATTCTGGTTGTACTTCAAAACTCTTAAGGATTTAATTCTCGGTGTTGTCTGATAAAAGTCACATCTAGGTAAATCTGGAGACAGGTTGCTTGTTCTTAAACAGATTTCCTGTTGGAGATTTTATCTACCCTTGGCTATGAAGGAAAGGAATAGTCTTGGGGAGCTGGGAGATAGTTCCTGGGATGAGCTGCTTGGCAACTCCTGTAAAACTTGATTGACTTTTGATACCAGGTTACCACTGGAGTGGGAGACTGGATTTGGAGAGGGAGGTCTTTGTTCCACCTACAAAGGGCTTGGGGCCAGGAACGAGCCACACAGATGGAGATCTGGGTGCATTTTGTTCCTTGTCTCAGTCACATTCCAAACTTTACATCAGTTTTCTGCTGGACCTTTTAGCTCATTCTTTGTTCCTGGCATTGCAGGAGGTTGGAAAGTACATTTTCTGGCTGGGAGGGTTTTAAAGGGCAGCAGTGTCCCTGGCTGTGCTACCTTGTGCAGATGGGTGCACACATGGCTGGCAGCAGCCCAGCTGCCTGTGCCAGCACAGCCTTACCTTGGGAATGTGTTCTCTTGGATTGCTGGGATGCTTTCCCTCCCGTGCCTGCCAGCCAGGCCCGTGTGTCAGTGCACGTGGTTGCCCCTGGAGATTGTAAGAATGGCTGTGCTGCAGTGAGAGCTGAGCTGGCTGGGGAAAGGGCACTGTCCTTCTGAAATTGGATCCTGCTGTGGCACAGCCTGGGGTCCCGTGCTCCCTGTCCTTGTGACTGATTCCACCTACAGCCCATCATGTGCAGTTCTTCCAGAGGCTGTGGTGACCTTTTGGAGAAGCTTTTACTTCTGATTGTGTTTTACCACCTTGTTCTGCTGCAGGGCCTCAGCACGTCTGATTGCACCTACAGCCTGGCTGCAGGTCCTGGCTCTGAGCTGCCTCACGGGCACTTTTGTTTCCTCTGTGGGGTCTGTGTTGCCTTCTCTGTCCCTGTGAGGAGTGAGGGAGCAACTGCTCCTTGTGGGAGATGTGGAACAGCAGCACCTCCTGTTGCTGATAACCAGGGAGGTGAGGTGGTTCAGCAAGTTGTCTGACAGAACTGCACTTTGGAAAACTGTCAGTGAGTGAGAGGAGGCTGTGCAGTGGTTTTTCCATGTACCCTGCTGCAGCCCTGCTGTGGTCATTGTATCAAGCTGGTCCGAGGGCAGTGTGACATTAAAAGCCAAGGCTGTGGCTGGTGGCTCTCAATCCTTCAGGACAGAGACAGTGACTTCCTGCAGCCTTTGCAATGAGGTTTTATGGGACGCCTGGAACTGGGAGGAAAATGAGTGGGAAAACAAACTTGGTCAGCCTTGGGTTTCCTTCCCTCCTGTAATCCTTGAATCTGAGGTGGAGTTTCCTTTCTGATGAACAAACAAATCAGGATCCCACTGTCAGCCTCTGCCTGTTGCTGGCTGGATATGGGGGTCAGGGAAGCTGTCCCAGACCCATGAAGGCAGAGAGGCCTCAGTGGGGCTGTCTCTGGCTGGAGTGGAGAGCCTTGACCTTTAGAAGGGTTGCATTTCTTCAGCTCGTTCTCTGCAGCTCTGCCAAAGTGTCCTGAACTGCTTTATCTGATGGCATTGGATGATGGATTCTGTTGTGTCACTTTGGCCCCTCAGCTTCAGCCTCAGAACACTGGAGGATGAAGATGCTGAATAACAAATCAGACACATCACAAGGGCTGCTGCTTTAGCAATTTGTTTGCAATGCTGAAGAGTGCAAGCAGAGTCTCTGACCTAAACCCAGCATCCAGCACCTCAGTGCCCTTCTGGGGTTTTTGGGAGCAGCACACCTTCATAAAACTGTGTCAGCTCAGCAGGGTCTGCAAAGGAAATGCCGCTGTTGTTACTGCCCTTGATTGTGGAAGAGCAGATGTGAGGCTGAGATGCCCTGCTCTGGGTGGCAGCTGGGCTGGGCTCTCTCTGCGTGGCCTGGGAATCATCATATGCAATGCATCTCCAGGTTCAGCCACAGCTCAGAGAGGGAGCAGCTGCTGATCTTCACCCTTAAGCCAAGTGGAGCTGTTTCCTGCCTGAAGTGCCCCCAGAAGGGACAGAACTCAGAACATGCAGTGTTTCCTGCATACGAGGTGTCCCGTACCTGTGACGTGTAACACGTGTGTGTGTGGGCCAGGCTGGGATCCCACTGACTGAGCATTGCTTGTGTTTTGACCATTTTCAGACTTAATTAAAACCACCAGAGCAGCCCTCCCTGCTGCAGCCTGCTCTACAGATGTTGTTGGGGAGAGCAGCTCTGGAGCACCAGCAACCACGGCCACCACGCTTCCTTGCAGGGCCATTGCTGGGAAATGCAGGAATTTGTTTTTGCTCTTTGGCTGCTCCTCCTCTGCAAGTTTCTCAATCACCGTTTTTCTTTCCCTTCTCCTGTCCTCACTCTGCAGACAGTCATCCTGGGGAGATGGAGGTGGGACAGCCTGCTGAGTGTCACCCTCTCCCTTCTCCCCCCTCTTTAACATTGTTTGGGACAGAAACTGGCTTATCTCTATTCTGCAGCTATGCAGAAATCCATTCCCTGGTACTTGTAGGGCTTCCTGTGGCAGGAATTTCTCCAAGTCCTTAGCCTGATTAGCTCTCTGCTGCCTGTGTGTGTGAGAGAGACCATCTCTAATTTAATTTAATAGGATCCTGAGGAAAACAAACTCCTTTGAGCTGCGTCCGTAATGGCACTGCCATAGTTACCCAAAGCATTGCTCAACAGTGTCTGGAATCATTTCATTCAGCTACAGCATCAAGCTTTTTTTTTTTTGCTTTTTTTTTGTATAAAAGAATATATAAAAGCAGCTGTGATATAAACAGTTTCCAAGGGAACAAGGCTGGGGGAGGGTTTTGTGTCCCGTCCTCTGCTCCGTGCGGATGGGAGAGGGACGTGTGCTGCGGAGGATCCTGGGAGGTTTCATTCTCCACTCCTAATTCCATTCTGCCACTGCTGCCAGATGTTGCAGTTTCTCAGGACTGCGCAGATCCACTCAGTAACTTCCAAAGAACTTCAAAGCCCCACCACGAGGATCGGAGTGGACGGGACCACTCCTGCTATGACCCGTGCCGGGACCTTTTGTGCCGGCTCTCTTTTCCTCAACAAAAGGCTGATGCTTGGTTTTAACGCCGGGAGGAGCAGAATGGAAAGGCCTGTGTGCGTGTGGCTCCAGAGCTAAGTTAGATCCGTCCCCCCACAGCTCCCTTTGCAGACACAGCTGCCCTGGACTCTTTGTCTGCCTCCTCCCTGCCCTGCCATGGGCTGCGTGTACTCGGCCCCGCGGGAAGAGCCGGCCACGGCCAGGTGAGTTAGACGGGCTGCTGGGATCCTTCCAGCTCCAAAGCTGGCTGCAGTGGGTGCCTCCCCTCTCTGCAACAGGAGGAGAAGGAAGGGGAGAGGCTCTGCTCAGAAGCAGGCTGCTCCAGAGGAGACCCTGCTGTCGGTGTTCGGTTTCTGTACAGCATCCAGGCTGCATCCTCACTTCTGGATGTATCTGTGCTTTCAGCAGGAAAGCCATGGGAGCAGGAGCTTTCTGAAGGAGAGGTGTTCAGCTGAGACAGACTTTGGTATTCTTGCTGAGCTCTTGGAAGCTTCTTCCCCTGTCCTTTCTTTCTCCTGAAACCAAAGTGACAGAGAGCCCTGGGAGTAGTTTGTGCTGTGGGCTCTCACCAAGGGTGGGAGAGCTGTACAAGTTACAGTCTCTCTGACAATGGGGTTAATCCCCTTGCCTCCACCCAGTTCTTTTTCTTGTGCTTGTAGCTGCTACCCTGATCTGTCTAAGCTGTAAGAGCAGTCCTTGCTGAGGATGAACTTTCTTTTCCAAGTTTTCCTGGCAGAGCAATGAAAATGTGTGTAGTTTCTGCCTTTGGTGCCTGTGTGTTTTCGTTGCTCAGATTTTCAGGCCACCCTGATGAAGCAATTTCAGGGATTTGTGTAGCCTTTTTTCCAAAGCCAGGCTCATTACTTCTTCTGTATCTGAGCCACAGCCTGTTCTCCAGCACTCACTTCAGTGCAGGGTTGCCTCCTTTGAAAACAGCCGAGCTCCATGTGCTGCTCCCTTTTCTCTTTCAAAGGGAGCTTGTTGAAAGGATCTAAAAACTTTGCTTTTTCTCCTCCTTTAAAAGCATTTTGTTTAATAGCTAAACCAACAGTTGTTTTAATTGAATCTTGTTTGCAGAGGGCAGGAATTAAAGAAGTTCACCAAGGAGACAAAAACTGAGAGAGCTGTGTCTTGAGAGCTCTCCCGAGCCCCTGTCCTGGCTGCAGCGTGGGCAGGGCTGGGGCTGCTCCCTTAAGATATTTGTGATATCCAGTTCCCAACAGGGGACAAATGACAGCATGGGGCGACTGTTAACTGCTGAGAGAGCCAAGCAGGGGTGTGAAGCATCTCCTGGGAGCACAGCTGCCTTGGGGAGCTTTTTGGGGTCAGCTTTGCTTGTCCTTTGTGTGTACTTTGTCTTTTGTATGAGGCTGTTGGTGCTCAGAGCTGTCAGGCCCAGTTATGGAGATCTTTGCTCCCTTTGGGTAGCAAGGAGTGCTCAAAGGGATGTTTGATTAACGTCCCCCACCCTGCTGCCCTGCGTGTGTGTGCTCTCCGCAAATGCCTCGGCACATCCGCAGGATCCCTCCCTCTGGGCTACAGAGTTGAGGAAACTGTTAGCAAGCTCCTCACATTCTCACATGGGCTGGAGCCAAAACCATTTTTTTTTTTGCCTGGAGGCTCCTCTCATCCCACAGGAGACCTGGCCTTGCATTCTTCCATTGTGGAATGGGAACGGGTCCCACGTTCGTCTTCCCTGCTACCAAAGTTTTAGTGGGGAGGACAGCAAGGGAGCTTCTGTCCTGGCCTGCTCTGAAAAGCTCCCAGCACCTAATCTGACTGTAGCTATGGTCACCTCTGCTTGTGAGGCTCCCAGAGTCCCCAGGGCTGGGCTGTATGACACTGAAAATCCAAAGATGTGCTAAAGATAGCAAAGCTCTTCTGGCTTCCTCCCTAACAGGGCAGCTACAGCAGTGTGAATCCCCACCTCCATGTTTCTGGCTCTGCTGGGGTTTCTCCCCCTTCCAAGCTAGGGAAAACCATGTCTGTACAATAATGCAAATGTTCTGTGCAGGAGATTCATCCTAGGAATGGGAAGCCAGCATGGAACGAGCTCCACAGGACCTTGGCTGGCAGTGGTGACCTTGTTGGGAGCTCTGTGGGTCTGATCAGCTGCATGTGCCTGCTCCACAGGGCTCTCCAGCTCTGGGGTTCATGGCTGGCATGCTCTTTTGAGGCTGAAACAGCTGATTTTTAGCCCTGTTTGACTTCAGGTTTGGGGGATGTGTCCTGGGGAGCATGGCTCAGGATTGGTTCTGCTTGCCCACGGTGGTGTGGAAGCAGGGAGTTTTCCATTCCCTTCTTTCAAACCATGGCTTGGCCCCTGAGACTTATGTGGAGACCTGCTCTTGTGAGATCCTTTAGCCTGCTCGGCTGTGACACCTCTCAGAGCAGTTGATAAAGGTTTCCTGGTGGGCAGGGCTGTGTGCCTGGGCTTTTCCCAGGGGAGGATTCACTGATAGGGGTCAGGCAGGAGCTCAGCTTTTCCCCAGTGCTCCAAGTCCTTGCTCCATGGTTGTGTGCAGAAGCCCTGTGGCTGAGCAATGGGCATCCCTGGGACAAGGTGAATAACAGTGGCCAGTGGAGATTCACACCCTTTTGGGCAGCTTTCCTGAGGTCTGGAGGCCACTTTTCCCCCACTTACTTATTCCTGACCTCAAAAATGAATGTGCTCATCTGAAAAGAGGTTCCTCCTGTCTTTCAGAGCAGCTCCAGTGAGAGACAGCAGCTTCATTGAGAAGATGAAGAAGACGGTAAGCTGCTTGTTCTGCCTCCACGGGGCGCTGGGAAGGTGGGGGAGCTCATGTCCATCCCAGTTTCCTCTGGAAACTGTCAGGAGGAGGAGCTGGTTTGGATACAGACACATGGCTACTGCAGAGAGCATCCAGAGGAAGGCTGTGTGAGCAGCCAGGAATAGCTCTTTTAGTCTGTGCCTGAGATTTGTTCTTAGAGAAGAAATTAAAGTGAAAATTCAGTGGTGGAAAAAAAATAATGTAATATGAGATCAAAGTCAGAAGGGAAATGGCAGAGACTTTGAAGTCATTAGCTGGCAGTTGTTTATCTGTGTGGTTGGTTCCCAAACTGGCTGGCTGTGCAATGGGGATTGTACACAGAACTGTCAGCTTTTGACTCTGCTGGTCTGGATATGAGAGGAAGCAAGGGCTGGATGCATTTTCTGTTCTACTTCCAAGTGGCTGGCTTGCAGCAGAGCAGGAGCTCTGGTGCTCAGGCACTTGCCCAGAGCCTTTGGCAAGTTCTGCATTCTCATCCAGGGTGTTCCTGGAGTCACACTGCGGCCTCGAAGTTGAGAATAAATCTGGAAGGTTTATTCCTTGCTTTGGGTTTTAGTCTGACCTGAATCTCCCCTCTGAGAGTGGCAAGAGTCATGTTCTCATTAACAGCTCAGCCTTGAGTTTTCTGCCAAACTCTTGGAGTCCTGCACAAGCGCACACTCCTGCTTGCCTTTAGGTTGCAGTCCAGGATTCCTCATCTCAGGCATTTCCTTTGTGCTTCATCTGTGCGTTTGCCAAATGAGTAATCACCATGTAAAAGGGATTTCTCTTCTTCTCCAGGGCCGAAATATAGTGGTTTTCTATGGTTCCCAGACGGGCACAGCAGAGGAGTTTGCCAATCGCCTCTCCAAAGATGCCCATCGCTATGGCCTCCGGGGCATGACAGCAGATCCAGAGGAGTATGACCTGGTAATTTAGCCCTGAACAGCCTTGGGATAGTAACAACCTTTCAGTGCCCCCTACAAAAATCCAGTAACCCTGGACAAGGGACAGTTGTGTCATTTAGGGGAGAAAAGATCAGCCTGAGAGCTGTGGGTATGGGCTCTGTCCTTGCCATGCTACATTCTCCTGGTGCCTGAAAGCCTTGAATGGAAAGTCCCATTGCTTTTCTTTCTGGTGGAGCAGAAATACTGACTTGCAGTCCAGTTAGGGTAGTTGCCTTTATTTTCCCAGCCATTTTGAATGGGTTTGGCCTTTCCCAACCCCCTTCTCTAAACACATAGTGCTGTTTGCACACCTACACTGTGGGAACAGGAATTGCCCAACAGCCACAGTGTGGGATCCCTGAAGATTCCTTCTTTCCTCTGGTTGCAGTCGGACCTGAGTCGCCTCTCTGAGATTGACAAGTCCTTGGCAGTGTTCTGCATGGCCACCTATGGAGAGGGGGATCCCACAGATAATGCCCAGGATTTCTACGACTGGCTGCAGGAGGCTGATGCTGACCTCTCGGGTCTCCGGTTTGCAGTAAGTGGCCCCATTCCAGTTCTTGTGTTGCATTTGGGCAGGAAGGCCAAGAGCCCTCCAGAGTGGCTTGGGGAAAGGCCCAACACGATGTCTGTGCCTCGTACACCTTGTCTGGGATCCCTGCTGTCTTCCTGCCCAGGCTTTGTGGACACCTGCAAATGTACTTCTGGAGGGTTTAAATGCAAATGCCAGAGTTCGCTCTCCACTCCCTAAATCACGAGCGTTTCCTGGTATAAACAGCCCCAAAGAGCCCTGCAGGCACTGAATACAGGTCTGTAAATGAGCTACAGACTGCTGCTGCTCTTCAGAAGCTAATTGAGCAGCCTGGGGCCAGATCTTCACCCACAAATTAAACCACTTGGAGGAGTGTGTAACTTTCTTCCTGTGCTGAGCTGAATAACTAGCTGGGAAACAGCCACCTCACCCTAAACCCTGGCCAAATTCCTTAGGCAGCATAATAATTGCAAACGAGAGTAAAATCCACTGGTGGAGATGTGAGGCTACTCTGTGTGAAGCAGTGAGCAAGAATTTACTGTGTGGTGTGTGGGAGGCAAAGGCCAGCAATGGGTCTTCGGGCAGTCCAGGCTCTTACTGGTCCCACGAGGAGATGTGCAGGAGTTCTTGGAAGTGCATCCAGGCTCAGGGGAGGTGCTGGTGCCTCCTGTCCACACACTGGTAGATTCATACTGGGGAGCTGATGGGGGAGCTGGGAGAGGTCTCACCATCTTTATTCTGCATCCTTTGTGGGGTGATACCTGGCCAGAGGATGTCAAATGGATGGGGGAAGTCCACCTCCTGCTTCTCCATGCTGATGAGTGTTCCCTTCCAGGTGTTTGGGCTGGGGAACAAAACTTATGAGCACTTCAATGCCATGGGGAAGTACGTGGACAAGAGACTGGAGGAGCTTGGAGCCCAGCGCATCTTTGAGCTGGGGCTGGGAGATGACGATGGCAAGTGAGTGCCTTGGGCTGAGGGGCTGGTCAGAGCTGGCTGAAAGCACCTTGCAAAGCACCTTGGCAGGGAATTGGCTCGGCTACCAAGACAGAAATAAACTCCACAGGGCTCCTTGCTGGGGTTGACATGGTTGTGAGTGTGTGTGTCTGCTGTGTCTCCCACAATCAGCTCCCTGTGCACAGGGAGTGTCCTAAGTGTTCTGTGTCTGGAAAATCCCTTCTCAGCTTTAAATGTCCATGGGTACCACTGGAGCAGGCTTTGCAGCCTCCTCTGCCTTTGCCCTGCTGCAGCCTGTGTGGGTAAACTCACCCATCCCAGTGAAGGAGGCAAGTTAATCTCCTTGGGAGGTGTTTTATGATGGGAGGCAGCAATTTTCCAACTCCCACAGTTTTTTTTTTAACTTCTCTGTGTTCACCTGAGCACCTTGGGATATTACATGAACCTGTGGCTCTACCTCAAGGGTCTGCAGGGCCTTATGAGAGGAATATGCCATGTTTGGAAGGCTCTGAGCCTGGAAAAATAAGCAGTGTCATGGTGGAATCATGACCTTTTAGGAAGGTCACCTCATACCAGGGATGGACAATCGGAGCTGAGCTTTTTAAAGACTGAGCCTGAATAACAAAGCCTTCCTTGGCAGACCTGGTGTAGCAAGAGTTCCCACTCAGTGCTCTGCAGGTGCTTTCCTGGTGGTCTGTGAGCATGTGGAGGTACCAAGGGTGCCTGGGGCTAAGGCAGATGCCTTTTCCCACAGTGATGGGAGGAGGGCATAGGGATCTCAGGTGGCTTCTCTGGGAATGAGGCCGGTTCATTGACTCTCTCTTCTACCCTGACTAGCCTGGAGGAAGATTTCATCACCTGGAGAGAGCAGTTCTGGCCAGCAGTGTGTGAGCACTTTGGGGTGGAGGCTACAGGAGAAGAGTCCAGGTGGGTTTGGGAGCAGCTGCTCCTGGGTGTCAGAGACTGGCCACCTCTGGCTGGTGGCTGTGCCATCAGCCCTGGGCTGCTGTTCCCTCTCCTCTGCCTCCCCTTCCAGACTCGAGGGCACGAGTGAAGTGTAACAGTGAGTGAGGCTGTTTGGCCTGAGCTTGTCCTGGTGAGAGTCTTGGCCCAGCTCTGGATTCCTTTTCTGAGTGGGAAGATGATGGCTTTGGTTCCTCTGGGGCTGACTGTGCTGGTTGTGAGGCTTCAGGGAGGCTGAGGATTCCCCTTGTTTTGGGCTTTCTGCAGAGTCTGCCTGTTCCCTCATGTCTCAAGATGGGCAAAGGGGTGGAATTTGCATTTGGTTTTGAGCTGCAGCAATCCAGCAAAGGAGATGATGGTTCCAGCTGTACCTTGTGGGTTCCAGTTTGACTTTTTTCTCTTTTCTCTCCCCTTTTCCCCCAGCATCCGGCAGTACGAGCTGGTGGTGCACACAGATGTGAACATGAACAAAGTCTACACGGGGGAGATGGGCAGACTCAAGAGCTACGAGAACCAGAAGCCGTGAGTGCCAAACCCCCTGGGCAGGCTGTACCTGGGGCAGCTCTGGGCTGGTGGCTCCTTGCTGTTCCTGCAGCACAGCAGGTCTCTGCCCAAGAGAAATGGGCTCAGGTCTCCACTGGGACTCTGGGATTCCGCAGTTAATGAATCATTCACAGTGAGGAGATGGCTGTGGTGTCGTGTGCTGTTTGGCTGGTACATCCACAGCATCTGTCCTGAGCCTTTCCTTGCCTGCAGTGGCCAATGCCTGATGGCTGCTGGCAGTATTGCTGTGAGGAGATGAGCTTTAAACATTAATTCCAGCCTGAAATACTTCTTTGAGATGTGATTGTGCCTCCAATCCAGTTCTGTCACGTGTTCTTAATGGGACAGAAGCAGTTGACTGCTGCTGGGCTGTGCTGAGAAGGAAAAGGATTTGTTTCCTGTGCCGGTGTGGGGAGCAGCAGAGCATAATTTGGTTTGTGCTGTGGTGCAGTGTGCTTTGGAACAGGAATCAAATCATGGGAGCCTGCTCTGGAGTCAGAGGGAGCATGCCTGGATACAAGGAGCTCCATGAGCCTGCAGGAGGGAACCCCAGAGCACCTTTGTCTTTCCTTGCAGCCCATTTGATGCCAAGAACCCCTTCCTGGCTCAGGTTACAGAGAACCGCAAGCTGAACGAGGGCGGAGAGCGACACTTGATGCACCTGGAGCTGGATATCTCCAATTCCAAAATCAGGTACTTCCCTGGGGGAGACTGCTCCTCTGTTTTGTCAGGAGCAAACACAAGGATGTGGCACCAGCCTCATCCAGCCCTGCAGAAGGGGGCCTTGCTCCTTAGCACTGCCCTTTTGGGCTTCTGTACCAGGTACCCCTGTCAGGACTTGCTCCCAGCTCTTGCACTGCTTTGGGTCCATCCCATCCCACATCCCTGTCCTACCTGAGCAGTTCCAGCTGCAGGAATTCTCTAGAAGTAACTCAATAAATGAGAGGGCAGCTCAGCTGGGGATTGCTCTTGCCTGTGTTTGCCTGGTTTAGGTGTATGAGCATAGAGGGAATAAAGCCCTGTTCTTAAAACTCTCTCACTGGCTTAAATTCCTTAAATTGTTAGGAAGTCATGAATCCAGGTGGCTTAACCATAACAACTGCAGAGGTTTTGAGGAGCTTTGCTCTGTTCTGTTGAGAAACTGACCTGCCCTTGCTGGAACTCTGGCAAACCTGCTGTTAACCTGGGAGATGTCTTGTAAAAACCCTGGGAAAATATTCCACAAGGTCACTGCTGCTGTCACTGCTGGCTCTGTGCATCCTGATGGTGGTGCAGACCTCACTGGTGTCCTGCTACCTCTTGCACCAGCCCTTTTATCTTCTGGCTGAGCTGCTGGGGATGGTCAAGAAGTGGTGCAGGTGTTCCATGTGCTCTCCTCCTGCTCTGTGCCAGGTATGAGTCTGGGGACCACGTGGCCGTGTACCCAGCCAACGACTCCTCCCTGGTGAACCAGATTGGTGAGCTCCTGGGCACGGACCTGGACACTGTCATGTCCCTAAACAACTTGGATGGTGAGTAGGGATGACCCCTGAGGGTCTCCAGTTCTCCAGCTGTGGCCGCTGTCCTTCACCCTCAGATCCTGTGGGGCACCTCCGGATGTCCCACAGTCACATTCAGTGTTGTGCTGTTTTAGCAGGGGCTCAGAGCCTGCTTGCTGAGATCAGCTGAAGTGGGTCACTTGTGACATGTGCTTAGTGAGCCCATTCAACAACAAATTATGTAACAGCACACTCCTAATTATGGAGCATCAGTCCACCAGAGCATCCTTCAGCAGCCCTGGAGCTCCTCAGGGCCCTGAGTGTTTGAGATGTTCTGTTCAGTCCTGGGAGGAGGCACAGGCTTGGGGTCTGAACAGCCAGCAGGCAGCACTTGTGCTGATCCAAGGAGCTCTTCCTGGCTAGCATTCCCAGCAGAGCCAGCCTCTGGCAGGAGGGAGATGGCAGCTGCTGCCCATCACAGACCTGGGGCAGCACAGCCAGACCCGAGGCAGCAGATGTGCTGGCCCAGAAGCCTGAGAGAGCTCCTGGTTTCTAGAGACAAAGTGGATTTAAGGCATGGCTGGAGCCTGTGGCCTCCTGTGCAGTGTCCTGTGTTGTCATTCCTGTCCCTTATGGACCCCTCAAGGCTGAACAGAATGGCTCCAGCCTTGACTGCTGGCACAGCTGTACATGGCTGACAGAGCCTAAGGACACTTTGGAGGCCAGATATGATGGAGGTGTAAGTGCCTGAGGCCAAATTAACCATGGAGGGACGCCCCCTGCTTAGCCTGGGGGTTTGCTGGACTGTGCATGTACATCTCAGGGCAGGGAACACAGGGTGTATTTGTTGCTGCTAAACTGTCAGGCAACATCTGTGAAACACAAAATGGGCTACTGGGAGCTGGAGCTGCCTGGAGAGGGAGGTGATTCAGTGTGGAGCTGGGGCCCTGACCCACAGGCTGCTCTCTCCTTCCCAAAGCCCACTCTGCTCTGTCTCCAGCTCTGTGTGTGTAGCAGCCAGCACAAAACCTCTTAACCTAACAGCATGAGGTGGATGTTTTTTAATTTTTCTTTCTCTCCCGCTTCTTCCAGAGGAATCCAACAAGAAGCATCCCTTCCCCTGCCCCACATCGTACCGGACAGCCCTGACCTACTACCTGGACATCACCAACCCTCCCCGCACCAACGTCCTGTACGAGCTGGCCCAGTACGCCTCGGACACCGGCGAGCAGGAGCGCCTCCGCAAAATGGCCTCATCTGCTGCCGAGGGCAAGGTGGGAGCACTGCCCTTCCCAGCTGGGCTGGACTGCCCTGGGGGACCCCCAAAAGGCACCCAGAGAGCCGAGGGGGTGTTTGCCAGCCGTGTGGGGAGGTTGTGATGGCTGTGCTCCCCTTGCCTGCAGGCGCTGTACCTCAGCTGGGTGGTGGAGGCCCGCAGGAACATCCTGGCCATCCTGCAGGACATGCCCTCCCTGCGCCCCCCCATCGACCACCTGTGCGAGCTCCTGCCCCGCCTGCAGGCCCGCTACTACTCCATCGCCTCCTCCTCCAAGGTGGGTGTGCTTCCAGCAGGGAATGTGCCTGTGGGGGGACCTCTTCAGCTGCAGCTCCCCTCAGCTGGGAGCTGGACATTTGCTATGACAGGGGCAGATTTAGTGATCTCCGTGCATGGAGTTATCCCAGCTTCCCACAAAGTCTGTAGAGAGTCCCATGCTGCAGCCAGCTGTGCCCTGGTACCAACAGTCTCTGGAGCCCTGCTCCTCTTTGCCTGTTTGCCTGGCAAGTTGGTATTTTAGGGGCTGGTCCAAGTCCCTCTTGGCAACCTCCAGGGAAGCTCAGTGGTCCCATGAAGAGGTGAGGACAAGGCAGAAGCCCCATGAGGAGCACACAGGGAGGAATAGCTGTCCCAGTGTTAACATGAGGTTAAACTTGTCCCCATCCCTGAGCACAGTGTGGAGTTGCTGGAGCTCCTTCTCTGCCTGGTTCCAGCATCTCTTCCCTGCAGGTCCATCCCAACTCCATCCACATCTGTGCCGTGACGGTGGAGTACGAGACCAAGACGGGCCGCCTGAACAAAGGGGTGGCCACCAGCTGGCTGAGGAGCAAGGTGCCTGAGCAGAACGGGAGCAGCTCCCTGGTGCCCATGTACGTGCGGAAGTCGCAGTTCCGGCTGCCCTTCAAGCCCAGCACGCCCGTGATCATGATCGGGCCGGGCACCGGCATCGCCCCCTTCATCGGCTTCATCCAGGAGCGCGCCTGGCTGAAGCAGCAGGGTGAGTGCCCCGAGCTGCCCCTGGGGCTGGGGCTGCTGCAGGACTCTGTGGGGCCACTTGGTGCCTCCAGGGTGCAGCTGTGCTGCTGCTGATGCTGGTGAGCCCAGCCACAAGCAGAAGAGTGCTGGGGCAGGGTGAACAGAGCCGAATGGTTTTGTCCACACAAGGGTGCTTTGTCCTTGGCTGCAGAGGATGTTTGGGGGTGGACAGACCTGGGGCACTTCTCTGACTTCTACCACCACCACGCCTCCAATTAGCCACAGGTCACTCAGACTCAATTCTAAGGCTTGTGGCCACTACTGGGAATCAGTCCTGAGCTTCCCCTTGTAACCTAAACCATCGTGCAGCTCTGCAAGGCCAGGGTGGTGGAGAGCACAGGGCTGGGAGGGAGCAGGGCTGGGGGCTGGCAGGGCCCAGCTGATGGGGGCTGTGTGACCCTGCAGGCAAAGAGGTGGGTGAGACAGTGCTTTACTATGGCTGCCGCCGTGAGCACGAGGACTACCTGTACCGGGAGGAGCTGGCCCGCTTCCAGAAGGAGGGAGTCCTCACCCAGCTCAACGTGGCCTTTTCCAGGGACCAGGCTGAGAAGGTACCACACTGTTCCTCCTGCCACTTGTTCCTGCTGCCCACCATCACTCCCATGGCAGGCAGGAGCATCCAGCACTTCCCCTGTCTCCCTGAGCCATGAGCACAGCCTTGCCTTCCCTCCCTCTCAAAGGTCTGTGGTGTGGGGGCTCTGCTCCTCTCTCCTCACTCCCACCTTGTTTCCTGCCAGGTTTATGTCCAGCACTTACTGAAGAAGAACAAAGAAAACGTCTGGAAGCTGATTAATGAGGGGATGGCTCACATCTATGTGTGCGGGTAGGTCTGGGGACAGGATGGGGATTTGGGGGCAATTCTCAGGAAAAGGAGCGTGACTCAGTTTCCCCAGCTGTGCATTAGAAGCCCTGGGAGGGTTATGCTGTCCTGGGCAGAGGAGGGCAGGGGGGCTGGGGTGAGCAAGCCCTCTGTGTCCCGAGTGGGAGGTGGCAGGGCTCTGGCTGTGCCGTGGTGTCTCACTCACGCTCCCCGTTCGCAGCGATGCCCGGAACATGGCCCGGGACGTGCAGAACACCTTCTACGAGATCGTGTCCGAGTTTGGCAACATGAGCCAGCCCCAGGCTGTGGACTATGTAAAGAAACTGATGACAAAGGGCCGCTACTCCCTGGATGTGTGGAGCTAAGAGCAGGGCTGGCGGGGCCAGGGAGAGAACAGGTCCCCAGGCGTGGGCCAGGGGAGCTGGCAAGTGCCTGCTCGCCCACTGCTGCTGTGGGTGACGGTGTTGTCCCCAGCCCACAGCTACCCTGGTGTCACTCCCAACCCTTCCTGGGCCTCAGCAGCCCCTCGGGGCAGTCTGTGGATGCAGGGGGTGGAAAGGGTTGAGAGGGGCAGGGGGGTAGCTCAGGCTGCTGTCCGGGAGCTGCGGTGTCACCGGCACCTCAGGGTGCACCCCGTGGCACCTTTGCCTTGAGGCCAGGGACATCAGGGACGCAGCCACTGTGGGGCAGGAGGGACAGACACTGCCAGGGAGTCCTTCCTGGACACGAGGTGTTGCCTTATCCCCGGGGTGCAGGGACAGCAGAGGGGTGGAGGGGCTGTGCTGGGGCTGGGGTTGTGGCTTTGCCTCCCTCCTGCCACCCCTGTTTGCCCAGCTCTGGGATGTGGGGCTGGCAGCTGGCTCTGGGCACAGAGCTGTCCCACGGCCCCAGCAGCATACCCTGCTCCATTCCCGCTGCCCGCCCTCGCTCCAGCACCACGGGAAGCTCCTCTCCCTGGGGGAATACACCCGGTTTGGGGCCCGGTGTTCCCCTGAGCCCAGCCCCTCCCTCGCACCATGTACGGTCATTTTTTAAATACGGTTTTTATTTTGAACATCTTTGTGATTTAAGCATGGAAAAAAACAAACAAAAAAAAAAACCCCAACCAACAGATACCCCAGACTTCCAGGCTGTTCAATGATTGTAAATTATTTAAATACATTTGCCCTTGGAATAAAAAAACCTGTGTCTGGAGTTTGCTTCCTGCATTCTCTCTGCTCAGCCAGAGGGAAGAAGGAGGCAGGAGGAGCAATGGATGAGAACCAGGAGGAAATCTGGGCATGTGGTGGCAGCTCTGGGTTTAGGCTGAGCTGGCAACAGCCCCTACCCTGAGTGCTGGGCTGTGGGAAGGGAGGGAGATGGCAGTGGGGGGCTCTGGACTGGGGTGCAGCCGTGCCCAACCTGCTCTTTGGTTCTTCCAGAGCTCCCGGTGCTGGTACAGCTGGTACAGGGCGTCTCTTCCCCACCTCCAGGGACACGGAGGTTCTGGTGGCCTCCTTGGGTGGCAACAGCCTGTGCAGACTGGGGTGCTGTGGGAAGGAGCAACCCCTGCAGCTCAGGCTGATGGAGGGGCACAGGGAGATGACTTTTCATAAAATCATGGGTTCATTTAGACTGGAAAACCTCTCCAAATCATTGAGTCCAATGACTACCAAAGCCACCACTCAACCATGTCCCCAGCTGCCACATCTGCATGGCTTTTAAATCCCTGCAGGGATGGTGACTCCACAACTACCCTGGGCAGCCTCTGTCAGGGCTGAACAACCCTTTTTTGTGAAGTAATTTTCCTTAATATCTATCTAAAGCTCCCCTGGTGAAACCTGAGGCTGTTTGCGCTTGTCCTGCTGTGACAATTGTCCTATTGCCCCCCACCTCCACCCTCCTTTCAGGGAGGATTTGTCAGGACCCCCCTCCTGATGAACCAAAGCCGCAGAGCAGAGTGTGGGAGCTGTTCCCAGACTGTCCCGGTGGCCCGGGGCAGCTCCTTCCCTTTATTGTCACATCTGCAGCCTCAGGAGCTGCCAGCCCAGGGGCTGCTTGTACAGCCCCAGCTGTGCCTGGGGCAGGCTCCTGCTGCTCCCACCCCTTCCCTGCGGATTGAAGGCGAGGGAGGAGCCTTGGAGTCCCTGTCCCAGTGGGCTGGGGAGCACCAGCATCCAGAGAACATCCCAGTGGAAGGAGGGGAGTGGCTGTCCCAAGCATCCTGCCGTTGGGATGTGGGAGGCAGGCAGGGCAGGAGGTGCAGGGTGCTCCTGACTCCAGGTGAGTGACTCCAGCACGGATCCAGCCCCGTGGTGAGCACATGGACTGTCCAGGAGCAGCCCCCAAGCTCTGTCCCACACCCTCCAAGGAATGGGATGGGACACCAGAGTCCGGACGGAATTGAGGAGATGGGGATATAGGGGATGGAGCCAGTGGGGAGAAACAGTCCAGGCCTCCACAGTGCCCCACTTCAGTTCTCCTTCGTGTCCTGGTTCTTGTTCTGAATCTTCTGGTGGACGACGCGGAGGGTGGTGAAGAAGTTGCCCAGGAAGAGGATGGAGAAGGGGAGGCCGCACATGAGGACCTGTGGGAGGAGAGGCCGGAGTCAGCAGGAGGGACCTGCCTGGGCCATCCATCCCCTCCCAGGGCACTCCCAGGAGCTCCTTACCTGCCACTCCTTGCACTCGGGGTGCTGGAGCATGCGGAACAGCGTGATGGCGTTGTAGAGCTGCCAGAACTGCGGGGCAGAGGAGATTCAGGGCAGCTGCTGCTTTCAGGGGCTCAACCCAGGCTGGTGCCCGCCCAGCTGCAAGCTCTGGGTACAAACCCCACACCGACCTTGTGTGGGGCAGTGAAACCCATCCAGCTCAGGGCCAGAAGACCCCACTGGGACACCCCCTTGTTTCAGGCCAGCCAGAGCCCAAGGGCCTCAGGAAGCCTCAGAGCAGCCTTTGGCCATCAGCTTCACTTATCTGACCGAGGAAGGACTCAGTCATGTCAGCAGCAGCCCAAAGCTGGAGCTCAGAAGGGCCTTGGAAAGGTTTTGGAAGGGTTCTCCCCACAGCACCCAGCAGAACCACCCCGGCTCCTCCCCATCTCACTTCCCCAGTTGTGGCTGCTTTGGAGAGAAAGGCTCAGCACTGTTGGAAGCATTTCCTGCCCCAGACATCCCATATCATGTGGCTGTGGGGTCTGTGCCATGTCCAGGCCACTGAGCACAGCTGGGAATGTGGCACATCCCACTCCCAGCCCAGGCTCTGGCACCTTGCAAGGACTGGGGCAGCCTCACCTGCCCAAAGAAGAGGAAGGGGAGCAGGAACGTGAGGCCTCTCCACATCCAGGACTGGAAGCCCTCTGCAAAGGATGAAGGTTTCTGTGAGGAGCTGGCATGGGCTGGTGGAGAGGGGCTGGAGAGAGGGGATGGAGCCCTGGGGGACAGGGAGGCTCAGTGCCCACAGCGTGCCTGGCTGAGGAGGTCCTGTCATTCCAGCCTCACTGTGGGCACTTGCAGGGGAGAGGGGACAGTGACAGGGACTCAATCCAGCACAGTGCAGCTGGCCCTCAGCTCCTGCTCTCGCTGTCACAGGGGAGGTGACAGGCACAGTGCCTGGGGTGTTGGAGGGATGTGTCATGTCTGAAAGCGCTTCCTGGGGAAACCTGGGATGCCCAGAGCCACAACCACTGCCACCTCACATCCTGAGGGAGCCAGCTGTGGGCTGGTGGTCCCAGCAGAGCAGGAGGAGGGGGACAATCCTCCTGTGGGGTGCTGCTGCCCCACAGGAGATGCTGCTCTGGGAGCTTTGCTTTGACTTGTACCTCTTACTGTTCCTGCCACTGATAAAAGTGCCCTCAAATCAGTGTCACCATGTGTTCAGTAGAACCCACAGCTCCCAGGGAGCTGAGCACCAGCAAGGGGACATGCCACTCACCCACAGTCAGATCCATGTTGTGCCTCTCTCCCAGCGCTCGCAGCCGGTACAAGCACCCACTCTGGTAGTAATACTGCAGGAACTGCACAAAGCCTGCAGGGACAGCATGGCTGCTCTCAGGAGCTGCCCAGGGATCCCCTTCCAGCCTCAGCATCATCCCACCAGGCCAAGGGAACTGCCAGGAGAGCTGGGCAGCTGCAGCCAGGTCTCCATGTGCTGCAGAGCTCTGCAGGCACTCCCAGCACCTGGGGGTCAGTCCCTCCCTGTCCCAGCACACGTGGCAGCACTTACTCTGGTACATGGAGAAGGAGAGAAACTGGTTCCTGAACATCTGGTACATGAGCCCATCTGGCCTGTGGAGAGACGCTGCTGGCTGGGGGACGTGGGGCTGGGAGGGGACAGCCAGCCCTGCCTGTCTCACAGCCCCTATGGGCCCTTGGCCAGAGCTGCCATGGGACAGGGGACACAGACTTACCACGTCAGCATGACACCTGAGAGGAAGGTGGAGATGTAGTGATGGAAAACCCACCAGCCTTTGATCCTGGAGGGCAGACACAGAGAAGCACTGTCACGTCTGGAGGGTGAATCCAGACCCAAAGGCAGCCTGGAGAGTGGAGCAGCCCAGCCCCAGCCACCCCACAGCTCCCAGAGCAGGACCCAGGGCCTCGGGGCTGGGCAGCACCACGGCCCTTCCAGCTCCACCTTCCCGCGCCGCCTCCGCTCGGGAGGTTCCTCCTGCCCCGCTCCAGCTGCTCCCAGCAGGGTTTGCACACACCCTGAGTAGGAGGGAGCTGCTCCCCTGGGACGGGTCCCAGCCCCTCCCCGGGCCCAGGGCACTCACTTGGAGCCCCTCCCCGGGCCCAGGGCACTCACTTGGAGCCGTTGTTGATCAGGATGCTCTCGCGGATGGTGAGGGTGCAGTAGTACCACACCAGGAGGAAGTTAAAGACGGCGTCTGTCACCCTGGGTCACACAGAGCAGGGTGTAAAGGCACGTGCTGGGGGCACAGGCACGGTGACAGCCCGTGGGACACCCACCCCCAAGGAAGGGACCTGCTCCCCACCGCCCACCATGGCCACGGCAGCCACAAAGGCCACCCCGCCTCCAGGGCAGGGTCCAGATGCTTTACCAGGATCTCCTGTTCAGCTCTGGGTATTCCAGGATGGGAGAGAAGGGCAGGGGGGCTCTGGCAGGAGATCTCTGCCCAGCACCAAGCCAGACTCACCTGGAGTTGAGGAGGAACCGACAGGAGAAGGAGACAATGAGTAGGATGATGGTGAGGTAGAGCTTGAACTTCTCGTACTCATCTTTGTATGCAAACCTGCAGGGAAGCACAAGGACAGGCTGGGAGCAAGGGGCTGCTGGCAATCTGTGTCCTCCCATCCCATCTGGCTGGGTAAAGTCATGTCCTTTTAGGAACCTCTGGGACACACTCGGGAAGGACCTTGCCTTGGGGGTGTTTCTGAGAGCAGAGCACATCAGGCTGCTTCCACACAGCTGGGACACATCTGAGCACCCCAAACCACCCGTGGTGGGTGGCCCTGGTGGGGAAGATGGGCAGACTGGGATCTGCACACATCTCCAAGGGGAGGATTGGGGAACAGAGGGAGAGGGGAGTGGCTCCTGGCAAGGGAAAGGTTCTTAGGGGCCAAAACCAACTTCTGGTGTTTCCACAAGGGAAGAGGAGGGGACTAGCCACTGTCTGTCCTTCCTGGAAGCTCCTAATGCAGTGGAAACACAGACATGGCTTCGGTGGAGGATCCCATTAACTCGTCAGAGCTAATGGTCCATCCCAGCCCAGTGAGGGAATGTGAGGGGGAGCCAAGGATTTGGCCAATTCTTGGGAAGTGATGCAGAAAACAGCTCAGGAAGGGAATCTACAGCAGGTGAGCCAAGTGTCTCCCCGTGTCTGCCTGGGAGGAGCTGCTGTTCCTGGTGCCAAGGGGATCCCAAGCCAGGAAAATCAGAGGAGCAGCGAGGAGGGGCCGTACTTGGCCTGTTTGCTGAGCAGGGTCACGTTCACATTGCCGAGCACCAGACTCAGGTACAACCTGGGGAGAGAGCAGAGCATTAGCACAAGGACCTGCCTGTGGAGCTGTCCCCTCTTGTGCCACCAGTGGGGCCAGGGATGAGCCCCCAAGTGCTTCCACTCGGAGCTGGCAGGCACAAACCCTCTGGAATCCCCTCCCAGGGGCAGGGGGAGCACACACCCCATGTCCCACAGGCACTGGGGTGTTCCCCAGGGCTTCTCAGGCACAGCCACTGTGCAAGGGCGGGTGATGGCCTGAGCAGGCAGAGCAGTGAAGGGCAGCACTGCTGGCTCCTGTCCTTGGGGAGCCCCAGTGGAGCAGCACAGCTGGGACACCGCTGGGTGCAGGGTGACAGCTCAGGGGGCTGTGCCTGCAGCATTACAGCCACAGGGATGGGGAGGGTGGCCCTGGTGCCCCAGCTGGAGCTGAGGTTCCTTCTCACCCGTTCTTCTTTGGCAGATAGGCCTCCATCTCAAAGAACACGTTCTGCCTCTCTTTAATCAGGCTCTGGGTCTCTTGGATGGATGTTTTCTGCTCGGGAGTCGCCTGGGCTTTGCATCTGGGGAGCAGACACAGGCACTGGCATCAGGAGAGCCTCTGTACGTGACCAGCACGTGCTGGCACTCCACAAGGACTGACTGGGGCAAGGACACGCCAAGAACAGGGAAGGTGGGTGGGAGGCAAGTCCACAACTCCATCTGCAGGGCGAGCTCCTCTGTCAGGCCGTGATGTTGCTCAAGAGAAGAGAGCAAGGTGAGGCCAGAGGGTCTCTCACCCTGAGGAAGGATGGGGAGAGCTCTGTGCAGGAGGGGAGCAGTTCATGGTACCTGCAAAACCCTTGCAAGCTCTGAACAGCAAACAGGGCACAGGAAAGGGGGGCTGGGGAAGAACAGCCTCCCCACAGCCATGGCTACAGAGAAGTTTGCATTTGAGGCACGAGGGGAGCCCAGCAGCCCCGTCCTTGCTGCTCTCCCCTCCCGTGCTGTCACAGCACTGACTCACTTTCTGAGGGAGAGCGACAGCTCCTTCAGCCGCTTCTTCTGCCGGGCGATGGAGCTGGAGATCCCATCCTGCAGCTTGGTCAGCTCCTCGAGTTTCTGCTTGTACAGCCGGTGGTTGTCCTGGGAAGGAGAGACCAGCACGCATTAGAGCTGCCTGCCCACACACCCCTGTCCTCAGGCCCTCTGGGATGCTTTTGTTAAACAAATGTCCTTAATTTCACCTGTGCAGCTGCTGGGTGAGGAGGGGTGGCTGCAGAGGGCCAGCCCCAGTCCCAAGCAGGTTATCCAGAGGATGTTCCCGTGTTTGGGACACCAACGACTGCACACAGCAGATAGGAAAAGCTTGGGAATAAACACTGTGTGGTACAACTGTGAAAGGTACCACAGTGGCTTTGAGTGCTGGGACAGGATGAGCAGCTCTTGGTCTCCCAGCTCATGGCTTTGGGGCTCCACCTGAGCAGCCCTGGGAAGCTGGAAGGAGCCTGTCAGGGAGCTGCACAAAGAGGAAGGGCTCCCAGCAGGGCTGCAGCCACGTGCCCCGTAACCCAACCGCACCTGGATAAGGCTGGATGCATTTCTCCACTATTTTTAGTAGGGAAAGGGGAGAGCTGCTGGATCAATGCTGCTGCTTGTCCAGGTCAGCAGGAAAACAGCCTCACCTCGGCCACAGCAGCCTGAGTGCCACCTCCAGCAGGGAATTACATGCTGCTCACAACAACCCTTGGACTAGACCTTGGCATGAACAAGTTCTAACCTCTGTAGCTCTTATCAACCAGGTCTGGATCACCAGATCTCCAAAGTTGTTCCCAAAGGAGAAAGGTGAAACCGAGAGCAGAGGAGAGAAACCTTCTCCCCCTGGTGACAAGCAGCGGCAAGGAGGGAACGGATCCCAGACAGTCCCGGCTCCACAGCAGTGATTTATGTCCCTGATTTATCAGAGGACGTTCCCTGCCTGACCATCAAGCTTTCCTGCTGCCATCTAGTCACCTCCCTCTGGCTCTGGAGTGAACTGTGAGCAAGTGGCTTTTGTGACAAGTCCTTTAGCCGTGCCAGCATCCGAGCAGCTGGGAGCCAGCCTGGATGAGGAGTCAGGGCAGGAGGAGGCGCCCGAAGGGAAGGGCCGGCGCTGAGTGGCTGCACTCAGGGCTCCAAGTGGGCGACTCGGGACATCCACGCAACCCCTATGGAGCAAGAGGAGGTTTCTCAAAGCCTCCCTTGCCCCAGATCTGAGCACAGCAGCGACGTGTCCGCAACAACATCCGCTTCAGCCCGCTCTGGGGAGGGAGGAGGGGGAAAGGGAACGGCTGCAGCTGCAGCCGAGTGACCTGAGCGACAGCAGGAGAAGGTTGGCCAACCTTTCCCTTGGGTGACCCTGTGTGAGCCGAACCCGGCCCACTCCTTCTCCGGCAGGCAGCGCCCTGGGGATTACACAAAGCAGGTGGCAGCACCTCTGACAGCGGTCACCTTCCTGGCACGGAGCCGCGGGCAGCCCCGGCGGCCGGGACGAGGCGTGCCGGGCTGAAGCGTGCCGGCATTCCGGGAGCCCCGGGCTCCGCTGGCCGCTCTCCCGGGTCTGGCCGGCTGTCTCCGGGCTGCCCCAGCCGGGCTGAGAGCAGCGACAAGGACTGAAACAGCAGCTGCGCACCTCGGCCGAGCGTGCCACGCCAGGAAACCCGGGAGACCGGAGGTGTCCGCGGAGGGTTGGGCATCAGCCCGGGGTACCCCGCTCCTCCCGAGCCCCGCGCCCCGGCACAGCCTGGCACCGCCCTGGCCTGGACCCCGAGGGCTGGGACACGGGGGGAAAGCGGAGGGAGAGCCCCGCTGCCCGCCGTACCCGCCGGGGATGCTGCGGGGCACCCGCGGGGGATCTCCCAGCCCGGTGCCGGAGCGCTGCCCGGGGTGCCCGGGCCCGGTGGTACCTGGATGCGCTGGTAGCCGTCCTGCAGCTCCTCCCACTCGCGCAGGCACTCGGCGAGCGAGGCGCCCCAGGCCATGGCGGCGATGGCGGCGGACACCGGCCCGGCCCGGCCCGCGGCGACGGGCGGCGCTGCCCCGCTGGCCCCGCCGGCCCCGCCGCCTTCCGGGCACGCCCCGGGGCGGGGCCCCGTTATCCGCCCGGCCCTCCGGAGCGCGGCCCGGAAAAGGAGGAATTCCCGCGGATCCCGCAGCTCCCGGGGCGTGTCAGAAAGAGAAACCCAAACCCAAACCCAAACCCAGCGCTACATCCCCAACACAGAGCTGCACAGCCAGGGAGGGATTTCTGTCGTGTTTTATTTTGTGATGTCAAAGAACAGAATTCTGTAAGAGAGAGGAGGGTACTGGTTTAGGTTTCGTGTGACAGCACCACCTCTGCCCAGAGGTGTGGCTGTAGGATTCAAATGGGCAGGGTGGATTTGTCACCAACGCAGCCAGTGAACCGTGCTGGCTGAGAAGGCGCTCCCAGGGCACAGGGGCTTCTAAACAGGGAAATTCTGCTGTCACCTCTCCGGGCTGCAAGTGGGTACTGTCAGACTCTAAATTTACTATTCCAGACCATGGATAACAAACCTTTACAGAGATAACCCTACTGACTGCCCCACAGCTGTGGTTACAATCCCCTTTGCTTACAAAAGAGTCGAGCTGTGGCTAATGGGCCACATCCTGCAGGACTTGCATTCCCCAAACTTCCACCTCCTCCAGCACAGGTGAGTTCCCCGGGAAGCTCCAGATCTTGACCCAAAATGACATGGAGCTAGAAAAAAGCTTTTCCATTACATTTGGGTCTTTTTTCACACAGCGTTCAAGTAACTTTGTCCCCAGAAAGGGGAGGGAAGTGGCTTTCCCCGCGGGATGTTCTCTGTCAGTAATTTGGTTCAGACACATCTGTGACTGGGAACCCATAGATTTGGGTCTCCCAGGCTGAGAGCTGCTCCACAAAGCCCCGGTGTGGTCTCATGTTCATTTTGCATTTCAGAAGGTATTTCCAAGCTCTCTGTAAACAGAAGGAAAGTAAAGAACTGTTAGGAATTGAACAGAAGGTGACTCTTCAGCATTTTCATAAAGCAGCTACACTCCAGTCAACACAGCTTTGTATTTGCTCCCTGTGCTGGACAGCAAGAACCTGCAGAGAGGAGTTGGGTACCAAAGTGGGGATGGGCTGGATCCAGATGTGGACCTGAGAGAAACCTGTCTCCTTCCTGCTCTGCTCTCCTGGACAGGAGGACAGCTCAGGCTGTTGTCACTACTGAGTGTTATTCCACTCTGATGGAGCAGTGAAATCCTAGATTTTCTACTCTAAAATGCTGTTCCTTCCACAGATGATGAGCACAGCAGTGAAGTATCAGCCATAAAGGTTATAAAGTAATGAAGGTTATCATGTTTTGCTGATTCTGCAGGCTCTGAGGCTGATATTCCAATATTTACTGCTCTGGGTTCACAGTGTGGGTGTCTCTGGTTCCCCTGGACTCAATAGATCTTCTCACATATTGCTCACTAATAGAATCAGGGGTTGCACTTCCCAGCTCTGCCTTGATTTTGCCTTTTTGGAAGCTTTTAAAGATCTTTGCCTGGATTGGCTGGAGGATCACACAGGAATCTGTTGCACTGCTTTTGTCTGCAAGAAACAAACTTGTCTGCTCAGGAAAGCTTTGCCCAGCCAACAGTGGGAAAGCACTGCCCTGTCAATATTTTCTTTTTTTTTTGGCGTGCTGAGACCAACCTGTTGATGCCAACTGAGAGGAATGGCAAGGCTCAGGCTTTGACTTTGCACTGCCATTGGAAGCCCTTTCTGTGATTCAGTGAGTGAGTGGCTGTTATCAGCCTGCAGGAGCAATCACATCCCTGCCAGTGCAGGGACTGAACCCTGTCTGAGTCCTGCTGGCACCCTCAGCTTCTAATTACCCACTGGCACACAGCCATGGAAAGAGCTTTACTCTTGTGCTGGACATGTCTGCACAAAATCAATCACCTTATCAGATACAGACCCAGCTTTAGTGAGGTTTGGATCAATCCCTTCAAGCTCCCAAACTTTCCAAACAAGGGTGAGGTTTTTTAGGAGGTACCACCAGGGAGAGGCCACCAGGTTCTTGCACAGCCAGGCATCCTTCATGGATTTCTTTCATTATTCAGAGCTATGGAACAACCTGTACTGGTCATCTAACCTGTACATCCCTCCTGGGCAAGTATTATCCCACTGCAGATTTCTGTACAGTGTCTATGGGAGGGGATTGCTTCTGGAGGAATAAAAAAGGATTTGGGAAGAAGTCAGTACTGAAGTCAATGGTAAATGAGAGCCGTGCAAACACTGGATTCTGAATTTCTCTAACACTGTGGAGTTAAGAGATAGGATTAATTGCAGTAGTTTCCACTCTTTCCCTCAAATCCAGGAGATAAATACCATGTTCTGTATCCACAGCTTTGCTTTGCTAGCCCTTTAGTTAAGTAGGGAAAACAAAAATATCACAGGTTCTAGAGTAAGGATTCACAGATCCAAAATCACACCTAATCCACCTCCTTAATGCTCTAAAGAAGATGCAATCTCAAATAATATAATCAGTTGCACCATCAGGTGGATACTGTGCATGAAATCACAGAGAATGTCTTATTACTACAGTGATGGGGTTTTGGGAAGAGGAATGAAGTGCAGAGCCAGCTGCAGTGGGAGTGTGGCAGTGAAAAAAAATATATAAATATATATATACATACCTGCAGGGAAAAGCGGCAGGAGTGCATCAGATAGGCCATGGTGGCTGTGCTGCTCCTGCTGATCCCCAGGCTGGAGAACACCAGCACTGCTCCCACAGCCAGCTGAGCATCTGAGGCAAGAAATGCCAAGCACACATCAGTGAGCTGGGAAATGTGCTTCCCGTGGCAGAGTCAAGCACTAATTTGGTGACAGCTGACAGGGGGGCTGCAGCCTGAGAGACAGGAGCCCTCAGGAGCCCTGACAGCAGCAGATGGGCACTGCCAGCTCCCATTTCTGTGAGCATTTGCCTTTCTTAAAAATCTACTGTTAAAACATGGCCTTGAAGAGCAGCACCAATGACAATGACCAGCCAATGCTGCATTACACATCAGTGTCACCTTCACATCAGGGATCTGAGAAGTGGTCTTTCATGACCTATCAGCTGTGGTCAGCATCACAAACTCTCCCCATACTGGCCTAAAGGTATTGAATTTTTATTTTGCCTGAAAGGTTGCATATTTCATTAATAACTTTTAAATTCTTTCTCTCTTTCTTTCTCTTTCTCTCTAGACAGAATGATGTTTTTAAAATACTAGCAACTGAACCCCAGAATTCATAGAGCAAAATGTTTTCTTTCAGTGCTGTCAAGATGTTTTGTTTGTTTTTTTTTTCCCAAGCTCAAAGCCAGCATTTTAAAACTAATTTCTATTGTGAGATACTAGTTCTGTCTTAAGATCTGGGTAGAACTGGCTTCACTCCAAAATACACCTGGCATGAGGACATGCACACTCCTCTTGGAGTATGTGGAGAGCTTTAGTCTCATGTTCTGGTTTGAGTAATCTGCTCTCCACTGCCAAATAAACAGTTCCACTATCAGGTAAAACAGCGGAACACTTCCACAAGTGCACCTAATAGACTCTTGTAGTCTGGTTGGGAAACAGCCAAAAACCATGAGTGATGTCAGAAGGAAGCTTCTGAAACACTACTGGCAAAAAGCATGAGGCACAATGAAAGGCAGGTAAGTGAATGTCCGCATTCAGGTGCACCAAATAATGAAATTCAATTCAGGACTACAAAACTGTATCCTCAAATGTTGTTCCTTTGTGTGCAGTTGTCATGTCTGATATTGTACTTGGATTCAGCTCTGTGGGGACAGGGTGGTCTTTTGCTACTGGCTCTGTCCAGCACGGCTCAGCAGGGCCTTGGTCTGTGGCAGATGTAATCAATTTGATAAGCACAATAAAAGATAACAACATGGTTGGACAGCATCAGGATGGAGCTGCAGGAGCCTGAGCTGCAGGCACTGAGCTGCAGAGTGTGTTTTCTCCTGCCCTATCTGATGCAATCAGCTGAAGGCAGGTTCATGCTGTACAACCTGAAAGTCTTCCTGGGCCCTGCAGTGGGTCTGCACTGCAAATCACAAAGATTATCAATGCCTTGTGCTGAGTTCTCTCATGTGTGTCCCACTCTGGCTCAAATAAAGCCCCGGTGGCTGAAGATTTGGGCTGATGAGAGTCAAAGGGTTCCTGCAAAGGAGTAAGAGGGAGCCCTGTGAAGCCCTGGTGGATTCCCTGCTGCAAAGCCTTTTCAGACTGGGCGGAAAGCTCCCTGTTATCAGAGTGAGGTATCCTTTAAAGTGAGCAGGGACAGCAGAGTCAGATGCCCTGTAAAATCTCCTCTCTGTCCATCAGGCTGGTTAGTGAGGCAGCTGCTCTGGTGGTGGGCTTGCTCACCCTCCTGTCTGGGCTTTCTGTCACTCCCATCTAATATCCTACAGTGAGCCAGGGCTCAGGAATTCCTGATCAGGATCCACTCACCTATGAAATGAGAAATGGTGGGGAAGGAAGAAAAAAGATCTGCTTCAAGTGAATCGGGAACAGATATATGGAGGGATTTACCTTCTTCTGCAAACCTGGAAAAAGAGCACACAGACCACATGGAGCAGAGAAGCAGCCTTGACAACATATGTTTGTTGGAGGCAAGGTGATAATTTTGTTTGCTCTTACACACGTGAGTTTATCATCACCATCATCATTAACATGATGAGGGATTTATTGTGGTGAGGCACAGAGATGCTTGTAATACAGAACCAGTTTAATCACTGATTTTCCATTTCAGTGGTATCAGTATTGATGCCTTAACCTACAGATAGATGACCTACAGAGAGAGAAATGAAAACAGATGAACTGAAAGCAGATGTGCTTTCACAGAGTGTGTGTCGGCTGTTTTGTGGAGCCCCCCATTCAAGTGGTTTTCAATGGCAGCATCTCCTCCTTCCACAGACTCAGAACTTACAGGGTAAAAATTGATGAGGAATTTCCAAAACGTGGAAACATATAATGCAGAGGACATGTGAATATTACCCACAGTGCAGAGACATTCCTCTGGAGCCAAAGGCATGAGAAATGTCTGCTGGTGCACAGGTCTGGGGTGGGTAACTGGATTTGTGACTTTGTTTGGGTTACCACCTTGAGAAATGCCACTGGGTTTTTCATGTGGGAAGCTGCATTTCCAGCAAGGCCTGCAGACTGGGCTGTCTGGTCATGGACAGGGCAGGTAAGGAAGGAAGACCAAAAATTTGACATATTGGTGACTGAGATTTTGTAAAAATGTGTAAAAATGTAGATGTGCTGATAAGATTTTGCTCTGAAAGCTATTTAGAGATACAGGTTTTTCTTGAAGAGTGGCAGTATGTGATAGACTTGAAATACCAAGGGCTTCCCAGTCCTCCTCTTACCCAATTCACCTGTGGAGTGGTCAAGGGCTGCAGGACTGTATTGCTGTTGTGCTAACTCTGGAGCAGAAATTAGAAAACTGACCATGAAATGGAGCTGGAATCTGCACAGAGGTTTCCTTGGAAGGCCACAGGCACTGACTCCTCTGCCAGTAAACTCTGTGTCACCTCACTTTTTCACATCACAAACACTGGTGAGGGTGATCCTTGATCAGTTTAACTTACAGTGTTACAGGCTGTTCAGAGACGTTGACCAGAGCTTTGATCTTCAGATCTTTCTGAATTTTTTTGTCACTGGCCTGCTTGAAATTGCCCATATATAGCTTTGCAGGCAGTATTTCTACAGGGTATGGCTGGAAGGTGTCTAGTTCCTGCCAGAAAGAAATCACAGGCTCAGGTTAGAGAGTGTCTTTGCTCCCATTAGCTTGCTAAGTTCTTAAACAGAAGTCATGTGAAGAGTTGAACAGGCACTTAGTCAGCTGCCCATGACATATTTTAGTGTAATGATTCATTCAATCACCTGGATTTGCTGTATTTGAAGCCTTTGCTAGTTTTACTGAGAATAATTAACAACCTCACTGTTGTTTTGGCGTTACTTGAAGCAAGTCCCAGCTAAACAGGAGGTGGAATACATTCTTTCCGTTGTCTGGAGGGGCTGCAGCAGGACAGATTCATTTGATGCTCTCCCTAGTTGCTGTTTGCAAGGCTGAATGAAATCATCTGCCACCTGCAGAGCTGCTGCAGGTGCCCTGGAGTGGCACAGCACAAATCTGCAGCTGCATCCGGAGTCGGCAGCGTGGAGGCTGAGGAGGAAAACACACAAGCAGGCAACAGTGCCTCACATCCCTAAGGGGATGTGCCTTGGATACTGCTCCAGGAGCACAGAGGAGGAGTCTAACAAGTTAAAGCTGAAATTGAGAGGCAAGGAGGTGCCTGTGTCCAGCTGAGTCTGAGGGGGAAGCTCAGCAGTGAATTACCCTTCACAGGGCAGCACAAAGCAAATCGATTTTCTCTCCTGTGCTGGAGCATCCACAGGTTAGCACCGTGTCATGGGCTGTTTCCTGGGAACCAGAGGGGAACAATGGGAACAAAATACAGCTTGGAATGAAATGCTCTGTTGTCCAGCACCTTCTTAACCTGCCCTCCCTGTCCTAAATGTGCAGTAAGAGGGAATTGTTTCTCATAAACTAAATAGATTGATGTTTATAGGTGAAACCAAGCAATCAGGACACAGTGTTTGAGTGGATGGCTGTTTTCTTCCTGGGCCTATTGAAAGAAGGCACTTGTGCCTTTCCTGGTGCAAAGACATGGATCACAGTGCTTGGTAGGAATTGTACTTCTGTTTGAAAACATTTGCTGTGTACTATGCCAGATAACCACGTGTGAGAGAGCAGCCTGCTTCCTGTCATCATCTGCTACTGTTTGTTCAGTTATCTGTGCTCTCCATAGGCCAGTTTTGGGGTTATCAGGGGAACATTCCGAGCTTGCTCCCACGGACTTCCATTCAGGCAATAGAAGAGGAAGAAGTGTGGCTGTAAAAAAATCAGTGGTGAGATTCAGAGCAAGCACAGTAACTCCAATTAATTCCTTTGCCTGAAATTACTGTGATACCAGGTTTGCAACACCATCTAACCTGAATTCACCAGCTATCATCAGGTGAATATTAATGTCATCTACCTGGAAATTAGTCTCATCTCACCTGAGGCATCCACAGTGTCTTGTGGCTCTTCAGGAAATGGTAACAAGCTGAAAAACGCCTGTACCCTCCCTTCAGCAGGAGCACGGGGTGGCGGGTGAACTGCTCCAAGTTTCTGGCATGGAGGAGGGCATCTCCTTCCCCACCATCTAAGGAGACAAAGAGCTGTTTGCCTGGGCAGGTTCAGGGTCTCCATCTGCCTCCCTGACATCACAGCAAATCCCTTTTCATTCCAGCTAATGCTCTGGAGAAAACTGTTAAAAGCTTGACTTATTCTTTATTTTTTGCTGCAGGTCAGTTACAGGGGGTGCTGCTTTCCCCCTCTCATCCTGATGTTTTATTCCTCTCCTGGTTTCTTTTCTAGGACCAAATTTCTTTTCCTCTCCCCGATTTTCTTTAGGAAATGCTTGTAATAACTTCCCATAATAGGAAAGTTTCATTTATTTAAATTTATTAATCTTAGTTTTATGGAGGCACTTTTCTTTAGTCTGCTTTAGGCAAACAGGGAAAAAAAGGAAGTGTCTTAATTAAATTCTTCACAAATGTTTTAAACACTGCCCTCAGTGAAGTAGATTATGTGAGATGGCTGCTCCTCCTCCTCCCAAGGAATGCATCCTGCTTCCCTCTAGCTATGTCTGCTTTAGAAACAGATCAGCACAATAGAAACCCAGTTCTGATTCTTCACACCTTCCCTCTGCTGCCTCACCCGAGCATTTAGGAACCCACTTGCTTTATTCATTCCCCTTACACCTCCACTATTTTTTCTTTAAAAAGTGATGTAAATCTTTGCTAAAACTCCTGTAGCCTTTGTAAATCTCAAACAAACAGAAGTGGTTCTTCTCACAGCAGAACTTGCCAAAGGATGTGTAAAAGCCAAACACTTCCATGGTTCAAGGAAAACTGAACAATGCCATGGAAAAGTTTTCAGTACTTCACATATCTTGGTGAACTCCATCAAATCACCACCTCCATTAAAGGTAAATATTTTTAAATATCATGAAGTGAAAGCCTTTTGTGACCCTCAAAGAAGGAAGTACTCACTCTGGGAACACAAAGGATCTGAGCTGCTGATTTCGGTCTCTGAAGCAGTGCTGCTCCCTGCAAGGCAATCGTTGGACAAGCCAAATCTCAGGGAAATGTGGCAAAAAAAAAAAAAAAAAACCGAAAAAAGAACCCACTCTTCACACACAACAAGGAAATTCAGAGGATCATCCACAGATGGAAAACCAGGGCTGCCAGGATGCTTTGAAATAAAACCTGAATTTTTGAATCCTGAGAACATACACAACACAGTGAAAAAACAGAGGCAGAGCACAGTTTTTCACATCAAACTGGGAACATTTACATCTCTTCCAACAAGCTCATAAAATTAAATGAGGAATGGGAAGAATCTCTATACAGCAATGAGGTCTGGACTGACATGGGTCACACGTACCTGTTTCTTCCTCCTCCTCCTCCTCCTCCTCCTCCTCCTGATAGTCAGTAGACTCCAAAAAGCCGGTGTCATGGTCATACACCACACAGAATCTGACATAGCTCAGCACCTCGGGATTCGGGATCACGTACTCCCCTGCAGGACTCTACCAAAATCACAGAGCAATTCCATCAGGAGCACAGCTCCACTCTTCTCTGATGGCATCAACACTCCTGACATCTTGCAAGTTACAACTCTCTGGCTGTGTGTGGGTGGACAGGGCACTGGCAGCCCCGGTTAGGAGTCGGGAATGATGCAAATCCCGCTGATTGCTCCACCAGCGGCAGGGTGAGGATGCCAGCGCTGTCCTTGCGAGGCAAGGCTGCGCTGTGAGTTCTCGTGCAATGTTTTCCCTGCTATTCAGCCCCCGTGTGCCAATCCTTCGGGCTGCTGGAGCCACTTTTGTGACAGAATACATCCCCCCAGTGGCGGCCGTGGGGCAGGGCCGAGGCAGGGCAGGGGCTGGGACATTTCCCATGGGTTTCAAACCAGTTTGGGCTTCCTGCTAAATCCAGGCACGGTTCACACAGACAGCAACCCCCTCACCAGTTTAATCCTTTGGGCTGTAATAATGTGGCTCTCGTCGAATTCACACTGAGAACGGGCATCTGAATAAAAAACAAACAACCAAGACACAGCAATGTAAAGGCTTTTAAAGGTGGAATCCTCTTTGTGTTTTGTCTGTGGGAATTCAGGCATCACTCAAAGAAAGAGATGTGGAAATGTGGCACTTGGGGATGTGGTTTAGGGGTGGTTTTAGTGTTGTGGGGTCAGCTGCTGGACTGGATGAACTTGGAGGGTCTTTTCCAACTTTGATGATTCTGTGATTTGTTTTTTTTTAGAAACGGAGGCCTTCTGGTGTGGGCATAACAAACTGAGGGTTGCTGTGAGTCTGTGTGTAACACCAAGTGATAACCAGCAGTGTTAGTCCTGACCCAGGTGTGCTCCTGCAGCATTGGCAGCCTCAGTCCTGTGCTCTGCCCTGTGCCTGCTCTGCCTCTGCTGCTCCAGACTGGGCAGAGGGGCACTGGAAAAACCCCAACCCCACTCCCAAACTGCCTAACTCCCTCACCAAAACATTTCATGGCATTGCAATACCAGGCACCCTTCTGGGGGTAATGGCACTGTGCAAAATGGAAGTGGTTATCAGGAATCTTTGTGTAATGGTTGAGAAATCTAGTCCAGCTCTAAAACCTCTGGGAGCAGCAGGGGAGAGTGTGTATCCATGGGACTGATGAGAGCAGGGAGAGCTGAGCATGAGGAAAGCCAAAGCAGCACCAGCTGACAGCACCTACAACGGGATGGGAGGAAGATCCCTAGTGCCAGGCCCCAGAAATGAGGAGAAGTGATGTGTGTGCCCTTCCTCACAAGCCCTGTTGGCTCAGGATATCTGCCTGGGCTGAGCACAGTGCCTGGCTGCAGGCAGGGGCAGGGACAGCAGGCAGGGACAGGGACAGGAAAAGCAGGCAGGGACAGGGGCAGGGACAGGCAGGAACAGGAGCAGGAGAAGACAGGAACAGGGACAGGGGCAGGCAGGAACAGGGACAGGGGCAGGGGCAGGAGCAGGCAAGAGCAGGAACAGGGACAGGAGCAGGCAGGAACAGGAGCAGGAGCAGACAGGAACAGGAGCAAGAGCTGGCAGGAACAGGGACAGGGGCAGGCAGGAACAGGGACAGGGGCAGGCAGGAACAGGGACAGGGGCAGGAGCAGGCAGGGACAGGGACAGGGGCAGGCAGGGACAGGGACAGGGGCAGGCAGGAACAGGGACAGGGGCAGGAGCTGGCAGGAACAGAGACAGGGGCAGGGACAGGCAGGAACAGGGACAGCAGGAGCAGGCAGGAGCAGGAACAACGACAGGAGCTGGCAGGAACAGGGACAGGGGCAGGCAGGGGCAGGGGCAGGGGCAGGCAGGAACAGGGACAGGGGCAGAGGCAGAGGCAGGCAGGGACAGGGACAGCAGGAGCTGGCAGAAACAGGGGCAGGGACAGGGACAGCAGGAGCAGGGGCAGGCAGAGCCAGGGACACGGACAGCAGGGGCAGAGGCAGGCAGGGACAGGGACAGGAGCTGGCAGGAACAGGGGCAGGGACAGGGACAGGCAGCAGCAGGAGCAGGGGCAGGCAGGGCCAGGCCTGTGCCGCGGCCTCACCCAGCAGGCACAGGTAGTTGGGCTCCGCCAGCCGCGATCTCCACCGGTGCTGGTTGATGATGTTGTAGAGCTGTCGGGGCTCGCAGAACATCACCCCCGCCATCCCCACCGCCGCCTGTCGCCGACTATCGCGACACAGCGCTGCGCCCGCCCCGCCCGCCGGTCTCCACGGTTACCTCAGGCGCGCTCTCGCGAGACTTTCCCCGCCCCCTTCCCGCCGCGGGCGGCAGTCTCGCGAGAGCGGCGCGGCGCAGGCCCTGGAGGTCGTTGGAGTCACCGCCGCTCCCCGTGCCCGCAGCGCCCGCCGTGCCCGCCGTGCCCGCCATGCTGTCCCGCCTCAGCACCGCCACCGCCGCCGCCCTGCGCCGCGGCATCGCCACCTCCGCACAGGTACACCGCCCGACAGCCGCCGCCGCGCCTCGGCGGGGGGCCCCGCGCTTCCTCCTCCGCTCTGCCGCTGCTGCGGAGCTCGGGGGGAAGGCGGGGAGGAGCCCCGGTGCTGCCCGGTGAGCGGGCTGTGGAGCACAGGCGCTGCCCGCTGAACGGGTGCAGGACGGGGGTGCCGGCCTGGTTGTTCTCCGTTCTGGGCCTGCAGGGCCGGCGTTGGGCATAGTTCTTCTTCCGGGGCTTCGGGGCTCGGGGGGAGCCCGGAGCTCTCCTCGGAGCGGGGCTGGGATGGAGCCCGGAGCCCTGCTCGGAGCGGGGCTGGGATGGAGCCCGGAGCTCTCCTCGGAGCGGGGCTGGGATGGAGGCCGGAGCCCTGCTCGGAGCGGGGCTGGGATGGAGCCCGGAGCCCTCCTCGGAGCGGGGCTGGGATGGAGCTCGGAGCGGGGCTGGGATGGAGGCCGGAGACCTGCTCGGAGCGGGGCTGGGATGGAGCCCGGAGCCCTCCTCGGAGCGGGGCTGGGATGGAGCTCGGAGCGGGGCTGGGATGGAGCCCGGAGCCCTGCTCGGAGCGGGGCTGGGATGGAGCCCGGAGCCCTGCTCGGAGCGGGGCTCGGGGCTCAGGTACAGCCCGGGGAGGGCTCCATATCCCCGCTCAGGTGCTGCGGGTCCGGGAAGGAGCGTGGGGTCTCCACGAGGGGACTGTGGAGCCCGGGAGCTCCGCAGTGAGGGGCTGCAGGGCTCGGGTGGAGCCTGGAGCTCCTCGGAGCGGGGCTGGGAGTGTGTGACGGTGCCTCGGGCGGGGAGGTTGGGGTGTGCTCGGGGGTCTCGGTGCTGGGTGTGCCCACCGTGGCTCGGGGGTCTCGGTGCTGCGTGTGCCAGGCTGGGCCCGGTGACAGCACCGTGGCCCTGCGAGTCTCGGCCCAGCAGCTCCCACCCTGCTGCAGCCAGGCTGCGAGTGTGAGAACCCTCTCTCTGATGGTGTGCAGAGGGGATGGATTTGCTGCTTCCTCTTTCTAGTGCAAAAATGCCCCTGGAGGTGTTAAGAACTAAAGCTGGTGGTTGGTTCAGCAGTAATCCATCGTGTGCCAAAATCCACTGTGCTGGCTCCAGACCACTGCTGCTGCAGCTGCACGGGTAGAGATTGACCTCTATCCAGTGTTAATAGACCCGGTGGGATGTAAAAGACTGATTATCGCAGCTGTAAATATGTGTGGTATAGGAGAGCCTTGTCTAAGTCCTTTCATGGAAACTGTATTTATTAGCAGTGAGATTTTGACCCCACCGTGTCAGCTCGGTCACAAATGGGGCTCAGCAGTGACTCATGCCAGACTTTGCTTCCTCTTACAGAGTTTTATGCAAAATTATATTCGTTACCATTGCAAGGAAACTGGGCTGAGGTTTATCTGGTTCGGTTCTTGGGTAGATTATTTCCTGTCATAGCACAGTAATTAAGCTGTTCATGAGGGGATCTGGAGCTATTATGGCTTTTATCTGGTAAGATTGTGATAAAGAATGGCTTTCTCAGCAGTAATTGCTGCTTACATCTCCACAGTAGTTTTCCATCATTTTGGCAATGTTGCAGTTTAAAGTTTTTCTGGGCCCTGGAAGGAGCTTTCCTCTTGTGGAGCAGCACTTTGCAAACAGGCATTTGTGAGAGAAATTACATCCTGCCAGTCAGTACCTGAGTGAGGATAAAATTGGTCCATGGGGCAGCCAAGCAGAGTTGATTTTACTTGATTCTCCAACCACATGATCAAAGCTGGAAAGTGTTGTCACTTAATATTCTCAGTCCTCAATCTGCAGGTGCTATTTTGGATTTATAACAGGTGTAGACATTTTCTTCACATATATGCAGTGGTTATTGCATTTCTTGTAGTTTGTTAAATGTGTTGATTTGCCAAATGGAAGGCATTTTTTTTTTGATACTGGCAATGTAAACTGGAAAAACTACAAACTAGATTGATTCTAAAGCAGGCCTAGCCCACAGAGTGGCAGGTATTAGTCTCGGGCAGGCATTTATATTAGGAGAAGGGTGGTCCCTTGGGTTCCTTTGCCCTAGCCTTGCTTCCCTTTTGAGCTTCAGATCACAGGTAACCATTTCTGCCAACTTGTCCTACCAATAAACCTGAAGGATCTCTGGGAGGGTCATTTTCCCTAGGCTTAGACTATGGAGTTTGCACAGTGCTTGGTAAAAAAAATGAGGAACAGAGCTAAAAGTAACGAAAGTGGTGAAATCCCCAAGGTCACTGGAGTGGGGGTGACTGCCAGAACAGCTCTACAACGTGTCTGTTGTCTGTTTTGCACAGAACAATGCCAAGGTGGCAGTGCTGGGGGCCTCGGGGGGCATTGGGCAGCCCCTGTCCCTGCTGCTGAAGAACAGCCCTCTGGTCAGCAAGCTCAGCCTCTACGACATCGCTCACACTCCGGGCGTGGCAGCCGACCTCAGCCACATCGAGACCAGAGCCAATGTCAAAGGTACCCTGGGAACGGCCTCACTTCCAAAGGGATCCTCCCACAGGGGTGGCTCTGACCCTGGATGCCCATTGCTCGTGAGGGGAAAGCTTCACCCGCTGATCCTGAAGCCCAGTATCAATTTAAGTAGCTTTTTCCTCAAGCAGTGAATGATTAATTAAGGTTTAGCTGATTAGATTGACGTGTATGGAGATAAATATGGGCTGTGGTTGCATTGTTGAAGGGAAATTTGTGACATCTGGCAGGAACCATTCAGTGAAATTATCTCAGAGTGTTGAATTTAAAAGTTTGACTAGAAATGGGTTTAACACTCCCTAGGTGTCCACATGAATTCCATGTGCTTCTTTTCCCTTAGATTCTGATGAAATCAAAACTTAATCTGCTCATCTTTCTTTTATCTGAAGATGACTAAAAGGTGACATTTGTACATGAATGTGCCAGTCTGCAGTTCTTTGGGGGCACTGACTCTAGTGCCAAGGCTTTTGGAGAGTAAATACACATAGCAGGAGGAACTAAGAGTTTGGAAACAGGTGAATGTGAGATTCTCACCACTCTCATTCTGTAAGTTTTGAAACAAGGATAAAACATCAAATGGTATCCATCCATAATTGTGTTCCTTTGCTTTTCAACATTAAGTCTAAACTGAAGGTTAAATTTTAAAAAAGGCTTGGATGCCTCTGGGCATGATTTTGTACTTCAAAGTGTCAGCTATTTAATAACTGTCAAAACCATAATGCCTGAATGTCTTCCATTTCAGGCTTCATGGGACCTGAGCAGTTGCCAGAATGTCTGAAGGGCTGTGATGTTGTTGTTATTCCAGCAGGAGTCCCAAGAAAACCAGGTAGGTTCTTTGTTGGAAAGCCCCAGGGCTGCTTTGAAGTGGATCTCTGCAGTTCTGCTGCTCAGATCTGTGTCTGTTGGGGTAAATGGTCTGTTCATGCCCCTGCCCCAGAGCTCCTTGTGGTATCAGGAGCTCATTCAGCCTCTCTTACACTGCTAAATTGATTTCTGGGGTTCCTACTCGGGCCTGAGCTGCAAAGGCTTTTCATGCAAGTGATCCTAAACCTCCCTTAGTGTTTCTTGTCCCAGATCAATGCTCAAGGAATAAAAACTGGTTCTTTGTTTCATTTCTCAGCAGAAGAGAAATAACCCATTTTGTGTCAATTGTACAGCAACTTCTTGGGGCATCTCCAAATAAATGTTGTTAAGCCTTCCTAGAATGTCTCTGACCTGCTCCATTTCCACTCTTTTTTCCAATATCCTATTAGGAACATAACAAAATTCTAGACTTTAATGCCTAGCTCTTCCTAAATATTAATTTTTCATGGTTAAAGTATTTGCTGCAATAGAAATGGGGGGGTGGCACTTACACAACCAGCAATATTCTGCACACAGCAGTTGTCATTTAAACTGTAGTTGTGGAAGTGACTTAAAAGAGGGAGGAGAATTCATCTTGGGAGCAGTTGTGCTGCTCTGAGCAGCACTGGGTTGTGTGCTCACAGTGTTCTTCAGGCAGCCTCAGGTCTGACAATGGGCAGTTGGGCTGGCTGCTCCTGGAAAGGGCTGATCTCTTTATTGGTGAGAGGAGTTACCTGTGGAGCCAATTCATACTGCAGCTGGAGAATGTGTTCGTGGTCTGTGAAACCAGAAGCTGATGTGTGTCTGTGCAGAGCAGAATATTGGATTTTGGTTGGATTTTCTGCCTGTGATGGTAACTGGGGGTAACTTAGAATCCTGCCCTGGCTGTGTTTTAGGTATGACCCGTGACGACCTGTTCAACACCAATGCCAGCATTGTTGCCTCTTTGACAACTGCCTGTGCAAAGCACTGTCCAGAAGCCATGATCTGTATCATTTCTAACCCAGTAAGTGTTTTCTGAAGACCTTAGAATGTAGAGGAAAAACTCACCAAGTTCAGATACTAGAGTAATCCAAATTCTTACTAATTTTGACCAGTATCTTTAAAGTCTGTGGTGTATTTGCAGAAAAGCCTGGTTCTACTAACCCATTTTTCTTGGCTGTATTTAATTCAGAGAAAACTTGGATGTAAAAGTGCTTAATATCTCCAAGTCCGTGTGACTGATTATAATGCAAGCTGGTGTATTAGCTGGGATAAAAACCTTAGCTCACTCAGGGAGGAGCCTTTGTAATGGGAATGAAAAAATTCATTGTCTTAATGGTTATTTAAAATTAATGATTTTTATTCTTGCCTGACTGTAAATTGCTCTTCAATTTAGACATTAAAGTAATTGGCTACAGTTGATTCCAAATTGGAAGTATAGTTCAGGTTGTTAATTGGCCTGTTAAGTTC